AACTGGGCCCTAGTAATTCACTACCAAAATATTAAAGGCATATTAGACATCTATACATCTGTGACAAACGTGGGAATTGTCTGTAATATTTTAATAAACTATCTGCCTGACTAGTCTGGACTTATCACCGTGGAATCACTACCCAGTGAGGGGCAAGAATTGATTTCCTCCCTAGGGCCATGTCTACACTACAAACTGTGGTCAACACAAGTTATCACAGCGCATAGTCACCAAAGCTTGTACATCGCTCAAGTACGTGAATACTTTGCTCCTTGCGTCAGCACTGCAGGTAGTCCCCAGAAGTGCCTCTATTGATGTGAAGTGTGGTGCACCACGAATAGGTGTCCCAGTATGCCATGCGTTGCCATCGGTGCAATGCCTTTTGGGAAATTTTCTCAGTGGGCTAGGAGCTAGAAGGGACTAACCCAGGGATCTCTGAATGCAGGGGGCAAGTTCCTACCATGCAACTTTTTCCATTCCATAATGCCATCCATATCCCATAATTTTGGCACCTCTTTTTAAGAATCCCACAAACCCAGGTAGCGCACACACACACACACACACACGCACGCACACACACACAGAGAGGGAACTACACATCATGATTGGAACTGGCTGCAGAAGGACATCAAACAAAGAACCAAGGATGGGATAAAGTGACCAGCCTGGCAGAGGAGAGGGGTCACTCTACCCCGTTCCAAGGCCTGATATGCTACAGTGACAAGAGAGACACACTGGGCTCTAAGGGGTTAATAGAGCCCTAGGAAGGCTGCACAGGATGCAGCCAGTCAGAGAAGGGCTGAAGGGAGTAGTCAATCAGGGCCAAGCAAGCCCATTTAAAAAGGGAGCTGCAGGGCAGAGGAAGGCAGTTCTCTGCTAGGAGCCCAGGGAGGAAGGACTGTGTCTCTGGTGGGCTGAGAAAACTGCCAGCACCCTGGACAGATCAGTGCTGCTAGCAGGGACCAGGGGAGCAAGAGACAACTCCTGGCTGGCTGCTGGCGTTTGCAGGTTGAGACCCTCAGGCAAAGGCAAAGAGGATGCAGGGGCCATGAGGAAGTGGCCAGACAGTTTGCTGCAGTAGCCACTAAGGGAAGTGGCTGAACAGTGGACTGCAGGTCCCCCGGAAGGGGGGAGCACAGTGTGTGGCATGGCCGGAGGGCTGTGTCGCTGAAGAGGACACCATGGTCCTTGGAGAGATGCGGTTCCTAGAGCAGGAGTGACGGCAGCAAGGAACCACCCAAAGAGGGTGCACAAACACACAGAGCTAATTCCCAAGACAGCCAGCAGGAAGCGCCACAGTGGTGAGTGAACTCCATTACAGGGACATATTATGCAGCAAGGGTTTCAAGGACTTTGGAACTTGCCAAGATGTCCATGTGGCTGATGAGTGACACCTGGTCAGACAGGTTTGCATGGAAGCTGTTTATTGTTTCCGATATATGTTCTCTCCATTGTGCTTTTGTCCTGAATAAATAATACCTTACATCATGAGAACTGGTTAACCCTGTCCTTGCCCCTGTGACAGAACAGGATGGTAGGTGCTGAACTACACTCTGACTTGATCACAGTAAATTGCAGCATAAGTCACCAGTCTGGAGGGACCTGAGAAAGTTGATGACTAGCAGCCGGAGACCTTAATGGGGTGCCCTCAAAGAGGCCAGGAAGGAAGGCCAGTGCAGTTACCTCTGGAACCATGTGCGACAGAGATGGCAATTTCCTGCAGTGTCTTTGTGAGATCTTACTGCATTAGCTGTATGTACTGTGGGACAGGGATTGTATATAATTCCTTAGGGGAGAGGAACTAAGAATGGTGGAGGTGATTAGGCAAATTCACACAGGTTGTAACACCTCCAAGGAGGTGTCACCATGTGGAGAGTCTCACCTAGACTGGTTCAACTGGATTCTCCAGAGACTAACAGGCAAAGACAGGACGTTTGCAATAATAGTCTAAGTTTAAACTGACGCCAGTGCTGATCCAGCAAATGGACAGGACCTTCTGTCCAAGGGGGCACCCAATCCTTCTTGGGAAGGTTTGGAAGGACTTTCATTTGTTGAGGCTCCGTAAGACTGAGGGGTGGCTTCTAGTAACCTTTGCATATATGCGTGTATAGCATGTGTATAGGAACTCTTAATGTTTTTGTATGTTTTCTCTGTCATGCTTTCACCTTAAGGATAAACGTGCTTGCTTAGAAAGAGCTGGGTGGGAACTTGTGACTGTTGGCAATTACAGCTATTCAGAGCCCACAGAGAGAAAGCAAAGTGCAGATGCTGACGTCAGGCAGTCTGGCTTGCTGGGGATATCGCACTGTAGCCAGGGAACTGTGCAGCGTGGGAAAGCCCCCGGTCAGAATGGGGAGAGATGCGAGTCTCTGCACAAGAGAGGTGACGGCTGAGGAGCCAGGGGGCTAGAGTAAGTGCCCTCAAGGGATCAGGAAGGGGAAACACAGGGGCAGTTGCCCTGAACTGTGGTACCATGACAATATGGTTTCATTTCCGGGGCTGCTTTAGACAGGCAAAAGGGCTAGAGACTTAGGGGCTGTATTGTGATGGAAAATCCAACCACTTCATCCACTCCAGTAGTGGCAGACAGTCAACATAAGGGCTCTGGGCTCCCCGTTACAACCCATGGCATAGCAAACACACAGGGACATGACCAGAGTCCTGCTGTAGCCTGGCTCTTGTCAGATGCCCAGATGGCCTCTTGGGGCCATAGGCAGCCCTATGTAAGTTAAAGCAGCCCTAAAGGTGCTGTAAGATAAATGAGGGGCCTGGTCTGCAATCAGGGAGGTACAAGGTGACCAAGTCTCCTTGGCCTTCTACTGCTGCCCCACATTTCCTACCCTGAGCAGGCTCAGCTGAAACAGAAAATCAGAACCTCTCTTCTTTTTGGAAACAAAAGCCCAGCTTCTCCTTTGCAGGGCCCAGTGTCACCAGTAGCAAGGAGCTTGCCCAAAGCCCTTTAGCTCCTCAGTGCAATGCAGGCTGTGGAACCAGTTTGCAAGTCAGCATCCCTTCTTGCCAAACTTGTCTTGCTGAGATTGGGGAACTATTTAGCTATTTCCACCATGAAGCAATAAGCAGCCCTCAGCCCTTGCTATCTCTGGGTCTCCATCTAGTCTCACAGCTCAGATTGCACAGGTCCCTTGCTTTGATGGTTTTGGAAAGCGATCAGACAGCTTCCACATCTGAGAACTTTGCTCCTGCCAATGCCAGCAAGGATCAGTTACATAACTGCCAAGGGAAAGAGGGCGGTTCCACATTTAAAGAGAACTCCCCACTCCCTCGAACCTGTTGTTGTGTGACCAATATTCCTCCAGTGCTGTGCAAGTTGAATTACAGTGAGTGACGCTTTCCCTAGCTGCCCAGACACACTTGTGAAGGGACGTGGCTTCAACAAACAAGACACAGACGTGAGGTAAGGGAACTAAATCAACCTATGCATGCAGAGGGTAAAGTGGACACCACATAATAGGGACACAGTTAATAGGCACAGCTGTTTAACTAGTACAGATGGTTAGGGACGGTTTTCCTGCAATGCATTTGGTTTGCTTTAGAATCACCTCTGCAACTTTGCATTGACTAATAGACCAGCTGGAAGCAGATTTTTTTTTTCCATGTGCCGCTGAACTTCTATGACAAGCAAGCCTCAAAGCATTTGAGACAATAGAAGCTAGGATGTGCCTTATGCAAACTTTGTTCAGTTTTGAAGTGTGTATTTGTTTCATAACAGATGGCTTTAGAGAGTCCTTAATAAATACAGATGGATGCAAAAAGGTGCAATTACTGGGCAGAAAAAGTGCTAATTCAGTAAACAAGAGCAGGTAAACAGGATGTATTTCTGAAGTATACATTCAGATTTCCATGCTAGGAGGTAGGAACCGAAGCAATGGAGCTGGTTGGGAAATTATCTTTTTTGACTAAAAAAAAGTCAATGAAAACAAGCAAAAAAACCCAAACCTCATGGATGTTGAAATTTTTCCATGAAAAATATTGGATTTTCACCAAAAAAAAATGTGAAAGGGAAAAAATCTGTTTTCTCCTAAAACTTGAACTTATTAATAGAAAACTCATTGTCAGAGAGACATAAGGCATTCCAGTGGCTGGGAGTTGATGCTAGAAACATTCAAACTGGCAATAAGTTGCATATTTTTAACAGTGAGGGTAATTAACTATTGGAATAACTTACCAAACTGTGTGCTGGAGACTTTATCACTTTATCATTTGAATTCTTTCAATGAAGCCTCCATGTCCTTCTAAAAAAGGTCCTGGTTCAGCCACAAGGTATTGGGCACAATGCAGAGGAATTATTGGATAAAATTGTAAAATTCTGTGTTTATGCAGGAGGTCAGACTAGATCATGATGGTGGTCACTTCTGGCCTTAAATGTTTGTTAATTACCCCACATTCTTGTTGCAATATTCAATTTAATAGGTCCATGTCTCTATCTTTGGAGGAGAACTCTATCACTGCAATGTTCAGTGATCACTTAGTACTTGCAAGAGGGACTTTAGTCTGTGTCTCTTGCCAATTTTGGTTGGACATATTCCTGGAGGTTTCATCACATGACCTAATCTTTAAAGATTAATGTTTAGTTCCTGGAGACTCCCGGACAATTCTGGAGGGTTGGCAACCTTTACTCTGGTCCCAAATGGCTGTGCATAATAACAAGAGATTCACAGTGCCCCCATCCAAGCTCTCTGTCTGGGAAACTCAGCACATAAAGGCACAGTCCCCAATATCACAAATACTAACTGAATTCTGTTGCTCTTTAACCACACATGAGCATCTGCTACTTAAGATCATCCAACCCCTTTTGTATAACGAACGGGAATGGCAGATGTGCCTGTTAAATCTGAGAGGTGAACTAGTAATTACTTTCTCCATAATGCTGTCCTCTTTGTTTATAATATAAATTGCTGATCCTTTTCACTGAAGTGATACCAACTCTGTTCCCTGAATTCTACCCACCAGCAAGACTGCATGATCTCCTCCCAATAAAGGAGACCATGGTGAAGAGAGTTGCAATTATTGGAGCTGGCGTGAGTGGACTGACCTCCATCAAGTGCTGCCTGGATGAGGGGCTGGAGCCCACCTGCTTTGAGAGGAGTGATGACATCGGGGGTCTCTGGAGATTCACAGTAAGTGAGGGGGTTCGTTGCCTGTGGAGTGAGCTACACCTGTGCGTCCCAGGCCAGTAACCAGAAGAGACTATTCATTAACCAAAAAATGAAGTCAATCCAGCTCAACAGCAGCCTTAAACAGAACTAGTTTGTTCAAAGAATGGCAGTGTCCTGTTCAGACACTGGGGCGTGGCAGTCACCAGGCCTCTGTATTCGATGCAACCTTTGGATCCCGCATGCTCCCCAGCCCCCTAGGTTTGAGCAGCATTCAGACACAGTGCCAGGATGCAAACTCTCTGGCTGGCACCCTCCATGCTGCCCTAGGCCCCAAGACCAGTGCTGGCCCCCCTCACGTAGCTTATGCACACTCTCCCCAGAGTTCCGCCCGCATGGGCACTCGAGTTTAACCCTTTGGGGACATGTGACAGATAAAGTGAGGAATTTAGCCCTTGCGAAGGAACACCTTAAGCACACACACTTTACTCTCAGGGTATCTCTACACTGGAGCTGGAACTGTTATTTCCAGCTTGGGCAGACATACCTGCCCTTGCTCTGAGAGAGCTGGCGTACGAAAAATAGCAATGGAGAGGTGGTGCGTGAGCTGGGCTAGTCACCCAAGTATATACCTAGGGTCGTGGATGGGATCATACTCGGGGTGGCTAGCCCCTGTCCCCACTTCTGCCAACATGGCTAGATTGTTGTAATTCATGTGCTAGCTCAATCTGAGCTAGCATGGGTATGGGGATTACGCTCCCTGCCCCAGTGTAGACATACCCTTTGAACACATATGAGATACAGATCTATGGGAAAACAAGGAACACCTGAATATAATACCCTCCCTTGGCGACCTCAGCACTCTCTTTGGGGTTTGATCAGCAACCTTCAGGGGATAGAGCCCTCCAGCCTGCCCCTCCTCCTGCTCAGTTTTCTGCATCTAGCAATGAGCTCTTGCCTTCTTGTTAGGGAGCTTGTCTCTTTTAAAAGCAGGGCCTGACACCTCTTCCTGCTTCTCTTCTCATGCTGGGGCTTTTCCATTCCCTCTTTCTCCCCTGGGGGGCTGCTGGCAGTGGGCCATTGTCCCAATTTCAGACATGGTCTGTATTGTGCCACAAAACAAAAGTTTTATTCCACACTAAGGGTTAGAGTAGAAAATGGAGTTCATAGAATCAAATGGAAATCATAAACATACAGGGACATATTCCCAGCACTGTAACGGGGGCAGGGGAAGGGGGTTACATTAAGTAGGTCCTAAGTCTCTGCATCCCAGTCTATCCTTATTGTACAATGATACTTAGCATCTTCAACCGGCCATACTGGTAACTAATTAATCCTCAGAAGCCCCTTTGAGTTAGACAGCCACAGTGGATGTTGGTCATTAGCAACTACTCATTTCACAGCAAAAAGCAGTTTACTGGCAACTTTTGAATAATGGCAAAAGTCTCATGCAAGCTGTGACAGCAGAGGCTGGGGCTTTCCGCAAGGGTGGGGGTGCTGGGGACTGGTGGGGCTGCACAGTACTTCCTCCTGCTCTCTTTGCCCTGCACCCTGCCCTGACATCGGGGACTTGGACTCAGCAGGTCCCAGTGCTTCCTTCCCTGGCTGCAGCCCACAAATCTGCCTGCAGCCAGGGTTTTCCATGGACGGTGGGGGTCCTTGGTGGCCCATGGGGCTGCACGGTATCTCCCAACCAGCTGTCTGGGTTGCAGACTCAAAGCCAGCAAATTCATTACAAGGGGAACGTCTCTTCCAAAAGAATTGTCAATAAGCAACAAGCCCGTTGCTAATATCTGAAAGTCGTTAACATTAAAGTGAAGGGGATGGGATCGGTTCTGAGGGAAAATGTTGCTAATAACCACAAGTTGTCTTTATCAAGCTTGCTAATAACCGGCATCCACTGTATTATTAACCCCACTTGATGGTGGAGAAACTGAGGCACAGAGAAGTTAAAATGTGCCCAAGGTCACACCAGTAAATTTTTGGCAGCTGAGGAATACAATTTTAAGAGCCCTGACTCCCTCGTCCCATGTTTGTTCTTCTAATCCACTCCCCCTCCTGGAAGTTCTTCCTAAAAAATGACTGGAGTTGGCAAAATGTCTTAAGAACTGCCTAGTAATTGGCCTGAGCAGCCGGTGTGACAAAGTGCCACACAATGCAACAGAATTCAGCTGTGCAAGCCTAAGTGAAAACATCAGCAACAAATTTCCCAGTGTTTGAGTCCATTGTCTTTCACACTGTCCCTGTGTGAGAAGGGGAAAATCAGTGCTTTAATTCGCAGGGAATGCAGAAAACACTTCAGACACCCCTGTGTCTGGTGAAGCCACCCCCTTGAAGGCCCATAGGGACAAAAAAGGGAAGGTGGGAAGGACGGGAGTCACAAATGTCATCGTCCGTGTCCTCCCGCCCATAGTCTCAGGGACTTGATTATGTGGAACATGCTCAAATGTTCCCTCAGGATGTGTCTACACTGCAGTTACACACTGGTGGCTGGCCACTGTCAGCTGACTCGGGCTCATGGGGCTCAGGCTAAGGGCCTGTTTGATTGCAGTGTAGACATTCAGGCTCGGGCTGAAGCCCACGCTCTGGGACCCTCCCCTCTCCTGGGGCCCCTGAGCCCGATCTTGAGCTCAAAGGTCTACACAGCCCCTTAGCCAGAGCCCCACAAGCCTGAATCAGCTGGCACGGGCGAGCCATGGGGTTTTTAATTGCAGTGTAGAAATACCCTGGACTAGAATTCTTTGAAGGGGTCAAGAAGCATGTGTACCAAGGGGATTCAGTGGATATAGTGTACTTAGATTTTCAGAAAGTCTTTGACAAAGTCCCTCACCAAAGGCTCTTATGCAAAGTAAGCTGCCATGGGATAAGAGGGAAGGTGCTTTCATGAATTGGTAACTGGTTAAATGATAGGAAACAAAGGGTAGGTATAAATGGTCAGTTTTCAGAATAGAGAGGGATAACTAGTGGTGTCCCCCAGGTGTGTGTTCTGGGACCAGTCCTATTCAACATATTCATAAATGATCTAGAAAAAGGGGTAAAGAGTGAGGTGGCAAAACTTGCAGATGATATAAAATTACTAAAGATAGTTAAGACCCAGGCAGACTGCGAAGAGCTACAAAAGGATTTCTCAAAACTGGGTGACTGGGCAACAAAATGGCAGATGAAATTTAATGTTGATAAATGCAAAGTGATGCACATTGGAAAGCATAATCGCAACTATACATATAAAATGATGGGGGTCTAAATTAGCGGTTACCACTCAAGAAAGAGAGCTTGGAGTCATTGTGGATAGTTCTCTGAAAACATCCACTCAATGTGCAGCGGCAGTCAAAAAAGCGAACAGAATGCTGGGAATCATTAAGAAAGGGATAGATCAGGGATCGGCAGTCTTTGGCACGCAGCTCACCAGGGTAAGCATCCTGGCGGGCCGGGCTGGTTTGTTTACCTGCCACGTCCGCAGGCTCGGCTGATCGCGGCTCCTACTGGCCATGGTTCGCCGCTCCAGGCCAATGGGGGCTGCGGGAAGCAGCGGCCAGCACATCCCTCGGCCCGCGCTGCTTCCCGCCGCCCCCATTGGCCTGGAGCGGCAAACCATGGCCAGTAGGAGCCGCGATCAGCCGAACCTGCGGACGCGGCAGATAAACAAACTGGCCCGGCCCGCCAGGGTGCTTACCATGGCGAGCCGCGTGCCAAAGGTTTCCGATCCCTAGGATAGATAATAGGACAGAAAATATCATGTTGCCTCTATATAAATTCATGGTACGCCCACATCTTGAATACTGCATACAGATGTGGTTGCCCCATCTCAAAAAAGATATATTGACATTGGAAAAGGTTCAGAAAAGGGCAACAAAAATGATTAGGGGGTATGGAACGGCTTCCATATGAGGAGAGATTAATAAGACTGGGACTTTTCAGCTTGGAAAAGAGACGACTAAGGAGAGAGATGATTGAGATCTATAAAATCATGACTGGTGTAGAAAAAGTAGATAAGGAAGTGCTGTTTACTGCTTCTCATAACACAAGAACTAGGGATCACCAAATGAAATTAATAGGCAGCAGGCTGAAAACAAATAAAAAGAAGTATCAGAGGGGTAGCCGTGTTAGTCTGAATCTGTAAAAAGCAACAGAGGGTCCTGTGGCACCTTTGAGACTAACAGAAGTATTGGGAGCATAAGCTTTCGTGGGTAAGAACCTCACTTCTTCAGATGCAAGTAATGGAAATCTCTAGAGGCAGGTATAAATCAGTGTGGAGATAACGAGGTTAGTTCAATCAGGGAGGGTTAATAAAATAAAAAGAAGTATTTCTTCACACAGCACACAGTCAACCTGTGATGTTGCCGGAGGATGTTGTGAAGGCCAAGACCATAACAGGGTTCAAAAAAGAACTAGATAAATTCATGGAGGATAGGTCCATCAGTGGCTATTAACTAGGATGGGCAGGAATGGTGTCTGTAGCCTCTGTTTGCCAGAAGCTGGGAATGAGCGACAGGGAATGGATCACTAGATGATTATCTGTTCTGTTCATTCCCCCTGGGGCACCTGGCACTGGCCACTGTCGGAAGACAGGATACTGGGCTAGATGGACCTTTGGTCTGACTCAGTAGGGCCATTCTTATGTTCTTACCCTCTGTGCCCCAGAGATAGGGGAAACAGCCCTTAAGGTTGCTGTCAATGTGCCACGATGGAACGTTCCTTCCCAACATCAAGGCTCAGGTGGTAGGTGCTGCAGCCACAGCGGCAGTAGGACGGCAGAAACATGCATTCTGGAGGAGGCATTCTGCCCATGGAGTGGTGATGCGGGCAGAGTGCACGGACACAGCTATAATAAAAGGCTGTAGAATGGTCTCCTACCAGAGTGCTAACTGATGTGGAAGGGAAGAGGGCCCTGGCCTCAGATGACTCATCTAGCAGTGCTCCAGAGGCAGTGCTCCCTCTCGGGTGTCTAGTGCTTCCCTCTGCACTGGGCCCTTAGGGAATGCTGGTGTTGACGTCCCCCCTGCCCTCTGTGCAGCTGCACAAGGCAGAGGAAAGGGGCTCTGCTGTTGCCCCTCCATGACATTTGTGCAGAGATCAGCTGTGATTTGGCCCCAGATAAAGAGATCAGTTTAATTATGTTGTAAGTGCAACAGCCTGGGCCAAATTCTAATTCCTAATCTTGTCTGTGTCCCGCCATGAGTGGAAACCAAACGCTATGAACAAAAAGGGGTTGATAGGCATATTCTCTCCCTGGCTGCATGTGCAGAATGCATTCACTCTTCCCTGTGACACTGTGCTGATAGGAACATGTTGAAGATGGGAGGCCCAGCCTTTACAAATCCGTGGTCAGTAACACCTGCAAGGAGATGTCGGCCTTCACAGACTTCCCGTATCCTGAGGATTTTCCAGTCTTTCTGTCCAACTCCCAAGTCCTGGAGTATCTCAGGATGTATGCCAAGCATTTTGGCCTTCTGAAGCACATCCAGTTCAAGGTGAGCTATAAAATGTAGCGGCTGGTCCACATGAGAGGATAACAGTCTACCAGAGCTGCCAGCTGATGGAGTAACTTCTTCACGTAAGCAGTCTAGGCTCATGCTTTTGGCACTGAAAGTGCTGAGCTTGGGTGGTGTCAGACAAGGATCATAGGAATCATACACCTCTCCGAGGCAGGCTATTTAATATGTATAATTTGTATTGTGGTGCCTATGAGCCCCACCCAGACCAGAGGCCAGATTTCTAAAGGTATTTAGGTGCCTAAAGATGCAGAGGCATCTAATGGGATTTTTCTAAAGCATCATGGTACCTAACTCCCACTGAAATCAACAGGAGTTAGGCACTTCTGAAAACCCCACTAGGTGCCAATCTGCATCCTCAGGTGCCTAAATACCCTTGAAAATGTGGTCCAGGGCCCTGCTGTGATAGGCGCTGTACAAACATACAACAAAAAGACAGTCCCTGCCCCAAGGAACTTTCAATCAGAGTTGGCTGAAAAATGGAAGCCCCTCCTCACAAAAAATGTGATGACTTTGGGGAGGGGGAAGTCCCAAACTGGGACAAAATGTCAGAAATGCAATTTTTTATTGTTATGTTGCAGGAAGAGTTTTCAAGAAAAAAATCAATTTCAGAACTGAAAACTTTGCAGCTTCCCAGCTGACCATCTGGAAGACTCTTGTCAATTTCACTTGACTTTAACAAGACACCTCCCCTGGGGATGTAAAAGAACCCAGCCACTCAGCCTCCATCTCTGGCTCCCAGAGCTGCGGGGTGGGGGAGAAGCAGGGAGGCAAAGCGCCTGGACTCTGCCTCCGCAGCCCTCCAGGAAAGCTTGTCTCTTTTACTGTCAAAAGGTTAAATTGATAAGAGCATTCCAGGCGGGCATCCAGGAGGCTGTCATAAAAATTTTCCCAACAGAAAATCAATTTTTTTCTGCAAAATGGAAACTTTCTCATGGACAATTCTGGTTTTGCGAAAGTGGCAAATTTTGACCAGCTCTACTCACGGTTTAAATAAATCTTCCCCCAGGCCAAAGTCAGGTCTGTCCCCCTCCCATCTGGAAAATGGTCCAGCAAATTTTCTCAAACACACATTGTCATAGACTGTTTTCTCTACTTATATTTGTTACACTCAGATCTCATGCTGATGAACGATATTTGTTTGGTTCAATGTTTCAGACCACAGTCATCAGTGTAAGGAAATGCCCAGATTTCTCTGCCACTGGCCAGTGGGCTATTGTCACGGAGTCTAATGGGAAGCAGGAGTCATCTGTCTTTGATGCTGTTATGGTTTGCATTGGCTATCTCTCTGATCCATCCCTGCCGCTGGAGTCTTTTCCTGGTACAGGATGTCTTGTGTTTACTATTAAGCATTTCTGTGTTTGGCAAGAAGACTAACAAATCCACAGATGGAAACATTTTTGTTTCCATGTTCTAATTTCCTGGATCTGGCGACTGCCGTCATATTGACATGCGTAATTAGGGAAAAGCTTTCGTTTTCCAGCTGTCCCTTTTTCAGGTCTGGCTAATTGATAGGCATGCTTCCAAGGGACAAGATTATTTCTCTTGAGAAGGCTATTCAGAGAAGCTGGCTGCACTAACAAGTTAGAAAGCGTGTTATTGGTGTGGGTTAGGGCAACAAAAAAAGCACTGGGCCAAATTTATCTGTGGTGAAAGTAGACAAAGCTTCTGTGGAGTTGCACCTGATTACAGCAGCATTTGAATTTGGCCCATAATTCCCAGACAGAAGTTGTAGGCCTTTCCCTAATCTTTCACCACCATTTAATTTTGTCAAGTGCTTCTCAAGAATGAAGAGGAAAGGATCACAGCAGGTTTTGCTGTTTTTTTGGTTGTTGTTTTTTTTTTAAATAACCTGGGTTCTCCCAATTGGTGTTTTAAACACAGCCGTCTCTCTGGACCACCAGGAGGAACTGGCTGTTGCTCTGTGCTACCATCAGAGTTTTTAAACATTGGCTGCAGTTACATTATCTCAGATTTTCTAACCACAGAGCTCACTTTGGAGGGGGAGGAATGGACAACAAAGTTTCCAGTGGTATATTTCTAAAGGGGTTGCAGTGGGACTAGGGTCCCGTCACCAAATCATTGCTGGCCATGGGTTAGAATGTCTTATTTATTTCTGAACCAGTTGCCCTTACAAGCATAGTTCTACAGTAGGTCTAGTGTGATTGTCCAGAATACTGTAGTGCTGTCAGGTCTCTATTGTAGCACTTTTTTAAAGGTATAGTAACCCCAGCACTTTTAGTTACACTTACACACACACACACACTCAGAGCCATACAAATCACTTTAAAATATTCGGGGCCCAATCCTGTTTGCTTTACTCATTGCTGGGGGCTGAGGGATCAGGAGGTGGTAGTTCCTTCTCTCCCCTGCTCCAGTCATAGATTCCCTGATCAGAAGGGTCCATTTTGATCATTTAGCCTGACCTCCTATATAGCACCAGCCAGAGAACTTCCCCAACATAATTCCTAGGGAAACATCCACTCTTGATTTAAAAACTGCCAGTGATGGAGACTCCACCATGACTCTTGGTGATTCTCCTAGTTCTGGTTTCTGTGGGAGGAGGAGGAGCGGGGTGAGGACAGTTCTATCTGCTTTCTCCTCCTTGGCTCTGCTGACGACCGTGTCTGCAGGGCAAGGAGGGGAGAGCCCGTCTATCACTTTTCATTGAGTTCAAGGCCAAAAGGGTCATGTAGTCTGACCTCCTGCATCATACAGGCCATGGAACCTCTCCCAGACACTGTCTGCACCAGCCCATCACTTGAATTGGAACTAGAACCTCCCTTTTAGAAAGGTTTCAGAGTAGCAGCCGTGTTAGTCTGTGGTGTCCAGTCTGCATAGGAAGATTCCAAGTATGGCAGAATCTACCGTATCCCTAAAGAAGTCACTCCATTTCTCTGACTGGGCCTTAGGAATTAGGTCCCCTCCTCTCTTCAGGAGCAAGTCTCCAAGAAAGGGCAAAGATTAAGGTTACTAGGACCATTTATCCCCTGAAAAATATAATAGCAACAAGACAAATCGTGAGGTGATTTTTTTTCTGTCCTCACTACCAAAACACACCTCCCATTAACACCAATGGACTCCGGGATATGGCCTGGAATTATAATTGACTATTATTTAAGTGATATTTGCCAGATACCCTTCCCCTCTTCCTCACAGGGATAGAGACATTTCAAGGCGAGTACTTTCACAGCCGCTATTACAAGCATCCAGATGTGTTTGAGGGGAAGAAAGTCCTTGTGATTGGCATGGGGAATTCTGGAGTGGATATCGCCATTGAGGCCAGTCGTGTAGCTAAAAAGGTACAGTTCTTCCAGCTTCTTTCAAACCTGCAGGAAGGGTGATGTTAATTTTTGTTATATGCAGCGATGGGCAGCAATGAAGCCATTTAGAAGCCACACAGAGCGAACTGTCAGGAGAAAGGAGCTGAGAACCTGATTCTAGAGCAGAGGTCCTCAAACTGTGGGGGTGCGGCGGAACCTTGGGGGGGCATGGCAGGGCCTGGACCAGCCCCCACAGTGGGTGGGGAGGAAGTGCTACCCAGCCCGTCCCTGCCCCCAGCTCTGCTCCGGTCCCGCCCGCAGCTGCATCCTGGGCTTCTAGCCCCGCCCCCACCGCAGCCCAACTGCAGCTCAGCCCCCAGCTTCAGTCCCTGGCCTCTGCTCTGGCCCTGCTCCCGGCCCCAGACCCATCCCCAGCTGCAGCCCTACCCTCAACCCTCTTACCCCTGTCCACGTCCCCCACCCCTGAGCTGCAGGCTTGCTCCCGGACCCAGGGGGGTGGGGATGGGGGTAACCCTCAACATTTGGGGACCACTGTTCTAGAGGTTATTTCCACAGAATGGGAATATTGCTTTTTCAGAGACCCATGAGGCAAAGAAAAGTGCTACCAGACCCAACAGTCTAGTCCTTTAACATAACCCAACAGTGTCTTTATGGCATTGTGGGCTCCGAGGTTGCAGCAGTTGGACTGAGGAGTCAAAGGTGGCTTTGTCCTACCCCTACACCTCCCTCTCACAATTCTGAGAGACCTCGAAGTCTTTGCTCATTGGCTAGCTGGGTAAAGTCAGGGGACGATCCTTGTCTGGGATTAGTTTCATAAACGCAAGGAAAGCAATTCACCCTCCAAAGCTTTGCTGCTCTGTTATCTTCTAGGTGATGATCAGCACTGGCCGAGGCGCGTGGGTGATCAGTCGGGTGTTTGACAATGGTTACCCATGGGACATGGTCTTCCTAACTCGTTTCATGAATGTGATCCGGAATTCCCTCCCTGGGCCCATTACAACGTGGCTGGTTGCGCACAGGACGAGTCAGTGGTTTGACCATGCAAACTACGGCCTGATACCTAAGGACAGGTATATCCTGCGTTTCTGTTCCATGTGGTGGTATATTGGTTACTGAGTTAGAGAAGGAAGAGGAAAGTGCACCTAGCTAATGACGTACAATGTGTTAGAGGAGCAATGCAAACCCACATGTCGAGGGTTTAACTAGGGTTACCAACTTTCTGATCACACAAAACCAAACACCCCTGCCCTGCCCCTTCCCTGAGGCCCTGCCTCTGCCCCGCCCCTTCTCCAAGGCCCTGCCTCCGCTCACTCCATTCCCCCCCCCCATCGCTCACTCTCCCCCACCCTCATTCACTTGCTTATTTTCACCAGGCTGGGGAAGGGGGTTGGGGTGCGGAAGGGGGATGAGGGCTCTGGGGTGGGGCCAGAAATGAGAGGTTCAGGGTGCGGGAGGGGGCTCCTGGCTGGGGTAGGGGATGCAGGGGGGGTGCAGGTTCCAGGAGGGAGTTTGGGTGCAGGAGGGGCTCCAAGCTGGGGCACGGGGTTGGGATGCAGGAGAGGGGATGGGGCAGGTTTGGGGAGGGGACTCTGGGCTGGGGCAGGGAGTGGGGGTGCAGGAGTGGGTGTGGGGAGTGGACTCTGGGTGGTGCTAACCTCGGGGGGCTCCCCGGAAGCGGCGACATGTCCCTCGGCTCCTAGGTAGAGGTGCCAGGCAGCTCTGTGCAGTGCACACTGCCTCCACACACAAATGCCACCCCCACAGCGCCCATTGGCCACATTTCCCAGCCAATGAGAGCTGCAGAGCCTGTGCTTGGGGAAGGGCAGGGACAGCATATGGAGCCCCCGTGGCTGCGCCTCCTCCCAGGAGCTGAGGAACATGTCGCCACTTCCAGGAGCCGTGCGGAGCCAGGTAGGGAGCCTGCCAGCCCCACCAACCAGACTTTTAATGGCCCGGTCAGCAGTGCTGACCGGAGCCATCAGGGTCCCTTTTCGACTGGGGTTCTGGTTGAAAACCAGACACCTGGCAACCCTAGGTGTAACATAGGAATGTATAAATCTACACCACAAAGCAGGGTTAGGGATGTTGATCAGCTAGGTTTTCATAGGACAGCTGAAGAAGCGGGTCTCCTGGCCTGCTCTGTGTAGAGGAGGGGAACACTAGCATTGTACAGTCCCAGGCAGGGGTGCTGGAATGGGGGGGGCCCAGGGAGCCATGGCCCTCCCACTTATTACCGGCCATAGGGAGAGTGATGTGGGGGGAGGGGTGGAGACAAGTGAGTAGGGGGGCGAGGTCTTGGGGGAAGAGGTGTCATGGGAGCGGGGCCTCAGGGGGGAAGGGGAGGCACACAGGAGCAGGGCCTCAGGGGGGTAGGGGTGGCACGTGGGAGGGGGCTTTGGGGGGGGAAGGGGCGGCACACAGGAGCAGGGTCTCAGGGGAGGAGGAAGGGGTGGCGCAGGGGGCCAGGCCATGGTTCAGGCACCAATGGCCCCCACTTTTAGGGACCTTCTGCCATTCCTGTGGCCAGGAGCTAGTCCTACCCACTAAGCTTTCATTATGTAGAGACTCATAAAGAGTCAGACAGTTTTTGAAGTGTGTTTCTGCTCTGAAAAGTGACTCTGTAAAAGTACTGTGCGTGAATTGACCAGAACCCAGGGGAGGTGGCAGTGATGTTTGTGTGAATAAAGCAGGTTGCAGGAGGGGTGACTTTAATTAAAGACTTCAAGACCCTGGAGCCTCGTTTGGAGTTGGGTGGGAAACGGGACCCTGCTTTCCCATTTTTGAGTCTTCCAGGTCAGAGGTCATTCTCCAGCTCTTTGCTGAAGCACATGGGGTTGCCTTGGCTGCCCCAGCATTCTGATTGTGTTTCTGTTTGTTTCAATGCAGAGATGTGATACGGGAGCCTGTGCTGAATGATGACCTTCCAGGCTGTATCATCACTGGGAAAATCACCATAAAACCGAGTCTGAAGGAGATCAAGGAAAACTCAGTCATGTTTCAAAATAGCCCCACGGAGGAGCCTGTTGACGTCATCGTCTTTGCCACAGGATACAAGTTCTCCTTCCCTTTCCTTGAGGAATCTGTTGTCAAAGTCGAAAAGAAGCAGGCATCCCTGTACAAATATATCTTCCCCCCTCATCTGGAGAAGCCAACCCTGGCCGTCGTTGGCCTCATCAAGCCATTTGGTGCAGTCATGCCAGTTGTAGAAATTCAAGCTCGCTGGGTCACACGAATCTTTAACGGTAGGTGGAGCAGGAAGGTTAGTATGATGTGAGCACTTCCTCAAAGAAAAAGGCAGTGTTTCAGACACAGGTGGTGAGCGAGTTGGTATGTCGCCCCACCGCGACGCAGACCACAAAGGGATTCATCCAGGACTAGGAAAGGTGGTGCTCATAGACTGGTATCTAAATTGGGTTGCTCCGCACTTTACCGTCTTACAGAACATTTTACAACCCAGTGACATCCTTACTACATGAACAAGCGAAATACTCCAAGAACCATCTTGGAAATATTGAGCTGGATCTGTCTGAACAGAATTTCGGAGCCTTGTTTTTTCCTCTAGGATACAGGTAACTCCCCTTGAAGAAGAGGGGAGTTTATTTGTATTCAGTGGCGAGAAAAGAGGGGCCCTGTGTTTGTAACAATTGGGAAGCCATGACACGAGCACTCACATCAGTTCCTTGTGGATGGTGCAGAGGCCACACTCACTGTAGAGTTTCAGGAGGCATTGTTGTCCCCTTGAGGCGCAATGCTCCCGAGAGCTCCCCCTGGGTTTGTGCAGCTCATCATAGCCCTCACCACAGTTCTGGGCCTTAAAGGCAATTCCTGACCCACTGATAGGCAGCTATCTCCCTTTAGGGGCAGGAAAAATGGAATAGCTTTTGTGTTACCAGGCAGAGCTGGTAATAAACAGGATTCCCCACTGCTGCACTAAGACCCGGCAGAATCCAGCAGCTGGTTCGTCCTTGTCTCTTGGAGGGAGGCAGTTTCTCAGCACCAGAGAGAACAGTGTTACACTCAGGACAACCTGGGGCCTGATTTTGATCTCACATCCACTCGTTCCATGCCAGTGTTGCTCCTTTGGGGAAGCTCCTGATCTCAATTATACCAGTGTAATTTCAGAGTAAATGCCATGGACTTTAACAGGGTTACTCCAAAATCACACTGTGTAACTGAAATCATGTTCTGGTCCCTGGTTCCTACAGATGAGGATTCAAATCCCAGTCATCAGGGAAAGAGACTCCAAAGCAGTGGCTAGACTAGACTAGAGGAGGTTGTTAGAAGGCACTAGCTAACACGTTCCAACTAACATGTTTGAGAAGTCTGGTGCAGACAAAGCCCTGGTGATACCGGTAGTCTATGGCAATGGTTCTCAAGCAGGGGTACACAGATCTTCCAGGGGGTACTCAACTCATCTAAATCAGTGTTTCTCAACCCGGGGGGTGCAACCTTTAGGGGGGTTATAGGACAGGTTGGGGGGGGTTGCAGGTGCAGGGCCAGCATTAGGAGGTGGCAAGCAAGGCAGTTGCTCAGGGCCCCATGCCACAAAGGGCTCCATGAAGCTCAGTTACATGCATCAGTCTCACCACCTGGGGCTTGGGCATCAGCCCTGCCGCTTGGGGCTAGGATGTCAGACAAGGCTCACAAGTGAAAAACACACTGAAGTGGAAGTACAATATTTATATTCCAGTCAATTTATTTTATAATTATATGATCAAAATGAGAAAGTGAGCAATTTTTCAGTAATAGAATGCTGTGACACTTTTGTGTTTTTATGTTTGATTTTGTCAGCAAGTAGTTGCTGTGGTGACGACGCAGGAAAGGAAATAGAACGCCAGGTTTGTTGGTAGCTAGAGAGCTTTACAAGCCTCCTGCAAAAAGCCTCCCAGGAAAACTTTTCCTGGGGTTTTTATTCTTCTCCTTACGTTGTTTACAACTTATCTGAGTGGTTACATTCTTGCCCATTCAGAAGGCAGGCAATATACATGAGCATGAGATTACAAACCCATCTTTTAAGCGCGTGAACAGCCAGCTGCAAAGGTGATGTCATTGTTGCCAATAAGTTTTCCAAACATAGGCGCTAGAACAAGGTCACTCCCGCCTTATTGCCAAGGGAACAGTTTGCCGTTCTTCAAGGCTTATGATTAGGGAGCAACACATTCCTACAAGTAGTTTTTAAGTGAGGTGAAATTTGGGGGGTATGAACTTCCTGAAAAGGGTACAATAGTCTGGAAAAGTTGAGAGCCACTGGTCTAGGGGGAAACTAAGCTTCAGCCAGTTTAGCTCTTGTAGACCAATCAGTGTAGATTTGAACAGTAGACTTCTCAAGCATGTTCATAGATTCAAAGAGTTTAAGGCCAGAAGAGATGTTAGATGAGCCAGTCCAACCTCCTGTATAGCACAGGCCTTAAATTTCAACCCCACCCCCATATTGAGTTCAATAACATGTGTTTGGCTAAAGCATCTCTTCCAAAAGGGCATCCAGTCTTGATCTGAAGACATCAAGAAATAAAGAATCCACCATTTCCCTTTTGTTTGTTCCAATGGTTACTCACCCTCAGTGCTAAAATATTGCCTTATATCTAATTGGAATTTGTCTGGCTTCAGCTTTCTCCCAGAAGGTTAGAGAGCACCTCTTTAAATCCTAGTCTAGACAAGGTGTAAGAGTGGGTGTGATTTGAGATGATTCATTAGAACAATTAGGCCACTTGTCCAACTGACAAGCCATGAGTTCTCTCTCCTTCGGGGACCAGGAGCCAGGGTTTCCAATCCAAGAACAAGCTCCAAATGACTCAGGCCTTGTCTACACACAAATTGGCACCAGTTTAGCTAAATGGGCACAAACACCTGTGTAGATGCTCTTATTTCCGTGGCTTATTTCAGCTTCGTTTAAATCTGCTCCTAACTGAAGTAAGCTAAATTGAAATAAGCCTGGTTTAAGCTGAAATAAGAGTGTCCACACCAGCCTTTTCACCAGTGTAACTAAATTGGTTTAAAATCCCACCTGAAGTTGAACAGGTCCACCACTTCATGACAACAATCCCTTTTCTGGTTTCTAGGCTTGTGTCAGCTGCCTCCAGTGAGCACCATGGTGGAAGAGATCAACGAGACGAAGAAAAACAAAATTCGCTGGTAAGCCATGTCACCTAATGCAAAAGACTTTGAGACAGATTTAAAAACCCCTGAACTTTGGGAGGTATCAGCATGCAGTTCCAAATTTGGCAGCTGTTCCCTGTCTCTTTATAGGGGTGTCTAAAATCCAGATGTGGATTCAATTAGTCTACTATATCTAGTGTGTTTGAAGTCCATCTTTTAGCTAGCGGCTATATAATTATACAGGAAGTTTGGAATATCTATTCAAAGAAACCCACTGATGATCAAGCAGAATAACTGCAAACGGGACTGAATTTCAATGGCATCTCCTCTGTTTTACCTATTGATCAGAATGACATCCCTCCCCCTTCTTTTCTGATTCATTAAGGTTCGGTTTGTCCTATGATGAGATCCTGAAAACTGATTGCCTCGTGTATATTGACGAACTTGCCTCCTTGATCGGCACAAAACCCAGTGTGCTGGCTCTGCTCTTCAAAGATCCAATCCTGGCCATGAAAGTTTTCTTTGGTCCATGCACAGCATACCAGTACCGCCTGACTGGGCCAGGGAAGTGGGATGGAGCCAGAAATGCCATTCTGACCCAGTGGGAGCGGACAGTGAAGCCCACGAGAACACGAGTTGTAGAGGAGCCTCCAAACTTCTGTTTCAATTTGCTTAAACTAATCGGCCTTTTTGCTCTCTTCGCTGCAATTTTTCTTGGTTTCAAGTAGTCCTGGTGTGATGTACAGCCTGCGTGTATAAATCTTTTCTGGCTAGACAATATCTCTATATGGGGAGGCAGGAAAGCAATACATACAAAGGTCCTGTAAGAACAGAAGGGTTTCTAAATCAAACTTTAACCAATGTCACAAAAACATTTCTCCTCTAACTAAACTACACACCAAGATTCGTCTACCTGAGACCATTGCACAGATTTAACTAAATGTGTGATGGTAAACTGGTGCAGCCCCTGTGTGGACACTCATTTCTTTTAAAAGTGATTTATTTAGGGCTAGCTTAAATCGGATAGGAATAGGCGTCTGGGAAAGAGATGCTTTAGCTCAGCCGAAAGCTGTGGGCGTGATTCAGGAATCAGTAGATGGGATTCTTTGGCCTGTGCTACGCAGGAGGTCTGGCTAGGAGACCATAATTGTCTCTTCTCCCCTAACATTGACATTTGTCAGATAAAGGAATGGGAAATGTAAAGTCCCTGGGCTTTAATAATCAGTTGTTAAAATCGCAAGGCTCCACACCTGCAAGGCACTGAGATTCCTCAAATCTCTCTGGAGTTAGTTGGCATCAAGGGTGTTCAGCATCTGTGACGGATTGAATCACAGAAACCCCCTTGGGAACTGCCAACTGATGTGCCAAGACTATTTCTGCCCCTGCTTTCCCTGCCAGTCTGGGACTCCAGCACCTTGTCTTGTTGAGCCAGACACACCAGTCTGCTCCCACACAGACCCAGGGTCTGAACCACGTGCCCCAAAGCTGCAGACTTAACTGAAAGCAACTTACAGAAGTGTTCCTGTCTTTACCACTCAGATGCCCAACTCCCAATGGGGTCTAAACCCCAAATAAATTAGTTTTACCCTGTATGAAGCTTATCCTGGGTAAACTCATAAATTGTTTGCCCTCTATAACACTGATAGAGAGATATGCACAGCTGTTTGCCGCCCCCCCCCAGGTATTAATACAAGCTCTGGGTTAATTAATAAGTAAATAGTGGTTTTATTAAATACAAGAAGTAGGATTTAAGTGGTTCCAAGTAGTAACAGACAGAACAAAATGAATTACCAAGTAAAATAAAATAAAACACGCAAATCTAAGTCTAATACACTAATAAAACTGAATACAGATAAAATCTCACCCTCAGAGATGTTTCAATAAGTTTCTTTCACAGACTGGACGCCTTCCTAGTCAGGGCACAATCCTTTCCCCTGGTACAGCCCTTGTTCCAGCTCAGGTGGTAGCTAGGGGATTTCTCATGATGACTCCCCCCTTTTCTCTGTTTCACCCACTTATATATCTTTTGCATAAGGCAGGAATCCTTTGTCCCTCTGGGTTCCCACCCTCTCCCCTTCTCAATGGAAAAGCACCAGGTTAAAGATGGATTCCAGTTCAGGTGACATGATCACGTTACTGTAAGACTTCATCACCCACTTGCCAGCACACAGGTATACAGGAAGACTCACAAGTAAAACAGAGCCATCTACAGACAATTGTCCTGGTTAATAGGAGCCATCAAGATTCCAAACCACCATTAATCGCCCACACTTTGCATAATTACAATAGACCCTCAGAGTTATATTTTATATTTCTAGTTTCAGATACAAGAGTGATACATTTATACAACGAGGATGACCACACTCAGATTATAAGCTTTGTAATGATACCTTACAAGAGACCTTTTGCATGAAGCATATTCCAGTTACATTATATTCATACTCATCAGCATACGTTCATACAATCATATAGAATGCAATGTCACACACCTCACAGGGAAAAATCCTTGGTTATTTGCTTTTGAGGCCGGGCTGGTTAACCGGCAGACTCATCCATATGGCAATGATGATTGCTCCTGTCTGTGGCTGTGCTGCTCTTTCTGGAAGTCTTGGGTGCTGAAGATCATGTGCAGTTGGCTCAGTTCTGTTCCTTTATTAACAATCTCTTTAAAGTAATAAACACGTCAGCTCTTCCAGAGGGTTTGCTTTGAATTTATTGAGTTGGTTGCCTTGCCAGTTCTTATGTGTGTTTGCTTTGTGTGAGAACGGATGGTCCAGGGGCTAGGCTGGGATTTGGGAAACCCAGACTCAATTCCCTCCTCTGCTTGGGTTCAAGTCCTCCCTCAGACTTCCTGTGTGACCTTGGGAAGCCTCTCTCTGCCTCAGTTCCCCATCTGTACAATGGAGATAATAACACTTCCTGGCCTCATAGGGGCTTGGGGAGGAAAATACAGGGAAGACTGTGAAGTGCTCAGATGCTACAGCAATGGACGTCATTTAAGTACCTGAGGCTAGGTCTACACTACCCGCCTGAATCGGCGGGTAGAAATCGACCTCTCGGGGATCGATTTATCACGTCCCGTCGGGACGCGACAATCGATCCCCGAATCGACGCTCGTACTCCACCAGCGAAGGTGGGAGTAAGCGCCATCGACGGGAAGCTGCAGAGGTCGATTTTGCCACTGTCCCTACAGCGGGGTAAGTCGGCTGCGATACGTCGAATTCAGCTACGCTATTCGCATAGCTGAATTTACGTATCTTAAATCGACCCCCCCCTGTAGTGAAGACGTAGCCTTAGATAGATTACTACAGGCTGTAGCATTAGCCCTTGGAACTTGTGGGTTCTTTGTTTTGTTTTGGCTGCCGTAGACAACCCCTCATAATTTAGACAAGATTGTCATTTAGGGTATGTATACCCGGGAAGGTGTCGTCATGCTTTTTGCATTGTCACCGCTATATTGATCCCAGGATATGAGAGAGACAAAGCGGGGGAGGTAATATCTTTTATTGCACCAGCTTCTATTGGTGAAAGAGACAAGCTTTCAAGCAACATGGAGCTCTTCTCTGTGTAACTCGAAAGCATGTCTCTATCACCACCAGAAACTGGTGCAATAAAAGATATTAGCTCACACCTACCTTGTCTTAGTGGTGCTTTAACATGTGTTAGCTCCTATAGTTGTAAGTTCTAGTGTGGACAATACATAAATGTTTGTGGCGTTGTGACCAAAAATTCAAGGGTGTACGTCCCTGGATGGCTACGTTTCAGCGGTCAAGTGGAGTGTATTTGTGGAGAGGAGCCACACCAAGTGGGAGTGACCCAGCCAGAATTCCTCTAAACCACAGTCTTTTTTCATAGGGGTGCAGTCTATAAATTTTCCTTCCTCTCACCCTCACCCTGATGCAGGTTTGCTGGCCAGTATAGATGGAGGTGGGGCCACAGGCCTGCTCTCACCCCAGCTGCAAGGGAGTGAGGGCATGCACATTGTGACTTCACTTTTCCCTTCCCCCAGCCACAATGTGGCCTTAAATATTTTGCAGACCCAAGCAACCGCCTGATCTGCCTGCATGGCTCAGTCGTCTTCGTTACTATGGTTAGCCATTCAGAATTAGTGCATTTTTCTTTTTTTCTTGAGAGCGAATAGGAATGCATTTGAATTTCAATGCTACACAGATGTGGGGAGGGCAGGGCCAGTGCTACTATTTAGGCCAACTAGGCGGTTGCCTAGGGCACCAAGATTTAGGGGCGCCAAAAAGTGCTTTTTTTTTTTTTAATTTTTCTTTTAACAGCGGCCGCTGCGCTGGGAGGGAGAGGGAGTCTGAGCCGCCGGCAGGCAGCCCAGGGGTTCCCCTGGGTCAGAGCTGCCGCACGGATCCCCGGGCCGGGGGGTGGGGAGCTGCTGCAGGGGGGCGCATCAGGGCGGGGGGGGGGGGCCCGCCGGGGGGGGGGGGCCCCAGGGGGGGGGGGGGGGGGGGGCGCTCCCGCGGGGCGGGGGGGGGGCGCAAGGTGGAAGTGCGAAACTTCCTTGCACCAGCCCTGGGGGAGGGAGGGTGTAAAGGTCAATGGAGCTGAGGAATGAGAGTGAGCTGTAACCGTCTGGACTTTACTCTCTCATGTAATCTGTAACCAGACAAACTTCACCCAAAACCCAGTCGAATCCAAAACAAAAAAGACACCACATTGAACCAGAAAGGTGAGTTTCTTTACTTAGAGTCCTTATTCCCGACTGCATTTTTCATGCTTTCAACAATCAATCTGCAAACTTGGCGTGTGTCCAGAACCCCAGGGAGGACTGTGATTGGCAAGTGTGAAAGAAAGGTATGATAGGGAAATGTTATGCCTTTGTTTGAAAACTACTTGTTGCACACATACAGAGCAGCATTTCTGTATTAATTCCATCATGTGCTGAAAGCACACATCCAGAAGCGTACTTTTTGCTATGACTTTGGATAAATGTAAGTAGCCTTTTTTCTTTTTCTTCTTCTTTGTTACAGCTTCTGTTCATAAAAGAGAGACAAGACGGGTGAGGCAGTATCTTTTATTGCAGCAAGTTTTGTACGTGGCAGGGACAAGCTTTCGAGCTTCATAGAGCACTTCTGCAGGGCACTTATGTTCTTAAAATGACATTTACTGATATAGTTTATAATACATATGTGTGTAGCTAAAGTTGTACACAAAATATGGAGTAAAATAAGTCCCATTTTCAAAAGTGACTCAGACACTTAGGAGCCCAAGTTCCATTGACTTTCAATCAGATTTAGGCTCCTAAGTACCTACATTCATTTTGAAAATGGGACTCAATAAAATTGTTCAAAGTGGCCATAGTTCCTATGAAACAAGAAGTAATTAAAGTTGTAGGTAGTTTTCCTTTATGTGCTCCATTTTTTTTTAAATTGGCTTTCTAACTTTCTGGATAGAAAAGTAATAAACTGCCTCCTGAATTTTCTCATGATGTCTCAGATTGGGGAATTTGCTTAGCAAGCATCAAATAAATCATTCTACTTCTTATCTCCCTCCAACTGTTGATTGAACTAACCAATTGGTTTGACACCTGGGAAGCTTACAATAGGGTATGAGACTTTGTCTTTTACTGAGCATTTGGAAAGTGCTGGATTACAGATATTTATTTGCTACGTAAGCAAAAATTACCCATTTTAAATGTTTTTGCCCCCACAAGGTCTTTTGCTTATTGCTTTATTGGGTGCCTTAACAGAAACCCAAACAATTGAGAACATGGAAATGTACAGTTTTATTTCATCTTAACTCTGAATTTCCTGGGTTTCTAATGTTTGGGGCTTTTTTGTAATAATGGCAATATTCTTGCCATGTTACTTAACCTTTAAATCACTGATACATTCTCTCATCCTTTGCCGCGGCTTAACAGTTTTATTGCCTGGCCTTCACTTAAAGGTCTCTAGGATGGAGCAGTCCAGCACTGGGTCAGTATGGCACTATGTGAGTCCTTACTTTAAAGACACATCCTTAGCCATACTCACGCAGCAGCACAAAGCAGCCTTAAACCTGGCTTAAAGGGTCAGGGGCTGATTCCTCCAGCATTGGGGAACCTCCAGTAGTGCAGGTGGTAGCAGCTCCAGTGCTGTCCCTGGTACCATGGAGCAGAGGGTGTGGCTATGGTAAACAGGAGGGGTTATCCCCTGCCAATCAGTACAGCTCCTTGGGGCTATGAGTAGGCTTTGGGACACTTTATTTAAATAATGGTTTATTGGATATGGGATTTTTTTTTAAATGAACAAATTAAAAAATCCAGCCGCATGATGGGAAGAGGCTTTGGGACTACAAGGCTAATAAAAAAGCCAGGCTGTTGCAACCAGGGGCCCTCCACTTCCTGTGCTTTGCACTTTCCTCCACTTCCTTGTACCTGTGTACACCAGCATTCAACTCTCTCGGCCTAAGGCAAGGCATTATGCTGCAGGAACAGCATCGGGGAACCCCACAAAGGCTTGCTGGTGGCCCACCAGGTGAGAAACACTGTGCTATGGGGTGTAGTCCTAGCAGAAAATTAATAACTGGGTTTAATGAGAGCTGCAGTGAACTGCACCTGCTGGAGGAAAAGTGCTCAGCTACTCAAATAACTCCATCCTGCACAAATCGCTGCAGACGCAGTCAATGAAGCTCCAGTAAGAAGCATTATGGTATCAGAAGCTCTCCATTTGCTGACCATACCATGAGGGCAGAGATAAGACGAGTCCCTATGTTTGGATTCAGTCTGCCCAAATGTCAGGGGTTTGGTTTGGCCTGTTATAGAGAGGAGTTACCCACCAAGGTCTGATTCAGATCCAAACTCCAGGCAGATTCAGGTGCAGGAGTGCAGTTTATTCCCATCTCAACACAGCAGCACAATTTCTATCATCTTCTGACCCCTGCCTTTTCCAATTAACCCTTTCCCAAGCCACAGTTGTCTTCTCTTGATGTCTTCATGATTTAATTGTTTACACACACGGCTGATTAAACCTGTTAAACTCGGTCACTAGTAAACCCCAGAATGCCATCTGAGACAATTCTCTCTTGGCACCTTCACCGTAAATTCCAGTTTCTCTCTGGTTATCAAGTGAAAAACTTGAAAGGGCGAAGGAATTTCCTTTCCCTGACTCTGTAAGTACAAATTATTAATGAAACTGTCTCAACAAAGGCAAATGAGAAGGATCAAATGTGAATCCACAGGATGAAAAAGAAATAATCAGAACCCCACATTTTCAGGAACACTGAGGTCCACAGATCCCATTGGCAATCAGGACACGTCTATGTAGTCACGTGACCGTTTCAGCCTGTTTCACCTTGATCTTCCAGGTGCCTGATGGAAAGCTGTATTTATACAGTGCCCCATCAGTGTAGAATCTGAGCACCTCGCAATCTTTGATGTATTCATCCTCACAATACCCTGGGAGGTATTGTGTTCTGTTCTCCCCACTGTACAGAGGGGGAACTGACACACAGAGTGACTAAGGGAGGTACCCAAGGTCACACAGGAAGCCTATATTAGAACAGAAACTTGAACTCAGGTCTCCTAAGTCCTAGGCTAGCAACCTAACCACTGAGCTGTTCTTCCTCTCTGCTACTTTTGTCTTTTGCATCTCACTCCTACTATGTTCCCCGTTCTTCTGGACTGAAACGAGGGCAGGTGCTTATGTTGTTAACTTGCAGGCCTTTGCATGAGGGTCCCTGAGGAGTCCTCTCTCCTCAGACAGAAAACTGTGTAAATTGTCCAAGACAAGCCAGTTCTTAAAAACAAGTTTTATGTAAAGAGTTACAAGCATGGGAACAAACAGAGAACAAACAAACAAATTTAAACGCTCAACACTGCTCAGGGTTGCCTGGCCCCAAGGCCCCCCCAGGATGGCCTACTGCCAGGGGCAGTTACAGGAACCCTTTCATTCTCTTATAAGCAAAGATCCTTCTGTGCCCCACGTTGGTAACCGCTGACAGTCTGTCCTTGCTGGCTTCCTGCTGTGTGAGTGTGTCTTGTTTTAAGTGGAAAAGATGCCCTGCTATTCCAGTCAGAATCCATTATCCTATTGCCTAATATAGGTGTCCTGGTTAGCTAACGACCTCCTATTGTCAAGGCAGGCAAATGGCATTCCAGGAGATTACAGCCTACTCCACGGTAATAGTTTGAGAGCTAGATGATATCCCAGTTACAGGGCTGGCTGCCGCTCTTTTACCTTTCTGGTCTCTCCGAGTGCGTCCCCTCAGGCACCAGGCTTCCTGTTCACCACTCCTGGGGTGGAATCAGCCGTTTCACCCACTCTTGAGACTGGGCGCTGGGCTACAGCACCCTTTGTGACAACCACGTTTACCCAACAGGACCGACTAGGTTCAGCACCCGGGGTCCTTTCCTTTGGGAATCTGTGACCAGTGGTGCGTACAGTCAGAGTGTCAGCTTCACCCAAAGCATTGTCTGTTTTGGAGCAGGAATAAAGCCCCGAGAGAAAAAGGATTGAAAACAGCCTACACACGTCCATCTTGGCAGTCGATCCTACCCATGTGGTGGATGGTAACTAGGGTTACCATATGTCTGGATTTTCTCGGACATGTCTGGCTTTTTGGTCCTCCAATCCCCATCCGGGAGGAATTTCCAAAAAGCGGGACATGTCCAGGAAAATAGGGAGGCATGATAAGGGGACCGCCTCCTCCCCGGGCTCCAACTTTCCTGGCTCCCGCCGCTCTCCCCAGCGCAGCAGCAGCCGGAGCCCGGGAGGAGGTGGCTGCGAGCTCGGATGCCGCCGCCAGCCGGCGCCGCTCAGCCAGGGCCGGGGCCGGGCCGGAGCCACTCGGCCGGGGCCGGGGCCAGTGCCCCGGGGCCCGAGCCGAGCTGGAGTCACTAGGGCCTGGTCCGGGGGTGCTCGGCCTAGGGCCGGGGCTGGTGCCGCTCAGCCGGAACCGGGGCCGGCGCCCCAGGGCCTGAGCCGAGCCGGGCCGAAGACGCCGGGGCCAGAGCCTCTTGGCCGGCCGCCGGAGGGAGCTGCTCGGCCGGGGGGGCCAGACTGGGCCGTGCCTCCTCGCGCCCTCCCCCCCGCCGCCCCAGCTTACCTGCTGCTTGCCTGCCTGCCTGTTTCAGGCTTCCCATGAACATTTGATTCGCGGGAAGCAGGGGAGGGGCAGGAGCAGAGGGGCAGAGCGTCCAGGGGAGGGGGCGGAGTTGGGGCGGAGACTTTGGGGAAGGGGCAGAGTTGGGGCGGGGAAGAGGCGGAGTTGGGGCGGGGGCGGGGCCCCTTGGAGTGTCCTCTTTTTCCAGGACTGCAATATGATAACCCTATGGAAACCTAATGTTGGGCTGCCAGCCCCCTACTGGAACTTAGTGAGTTAGTGAGACTTTGTCCGGCCCTCTCCCCCACTAGAAGAAAGGAGAAGGGCCAAAGAGGACTCAGAATCCTGAGACTGATAGTCCCCAGGGCCACTGGGGAAGAGGCTCGTTCTCCAAATCAGCCAGCTTGACAGGGAGGGCAGGCCAAAGAGTGAGTCAATAGCCTGGGTCCCCTCCTTGTGAGCTGGGGCTGCCAGAGCAGAGCAGAGCAGAGCCAAGGAGATAGCAGCAGCTGGAGCTTGGCTGGAGACAGCAGCAGCAGCACTGAGCTGGCGGTGGGGGTGGGGGGAACAGAGCTGGGCTGGAGGCAGAAATCAGCTAGAGAGGGAGCTGGAGCAGCCCGGAGCCAGGAGCTGGGGCAGCGCAGACCAGCCACACCGAGAGTGAGCCAGGGCTGAGCTGCAGTGGGAGCCAGGGGGCCAGAGCCGGAGAGCGGCTGCCGTCTGGGCCACAAGTAACACTGGAGCAGAAAGAGATGAGCAGCTGAGGAGGGCAAGGGAGGACCCTGGGCAGTGAGGGCCCAGCAGAGGGAGATGTCACCAGACAAGAGGCCTTGAGGCCGGAGTTGGAGGGGGGACATGACCCTGGACGGAAGGGGCCGACGCTGGGGAGAAGGATCTCATTAGAGCCTGAGGGCGTGTATCCACCACCAGAGCAGTGTCTGACCTGTGGTATCACCACAGTACTGCCAGGGCCTGGTAGGGAGGCCTGGGAGGTGTGAGGAACAGGCTGTGAACTTTCCTTATATCTCGGACACTGCTGTTCATGGTGTTCTCCTTGCCCATGGGGGTGGGGAGTGGGGCTTCTTCCTTTAACCGTTTCCATTCTTCCAGTTGCTCTTTAATTAATTGTATTTGGTTTAAACTTAGAGCAGTGCTCAATGTGTCAGGAAAGCAGCCGGTGAGGAGAGAGCACCCCGGCATGGGGACACCCTAGCCCCTGTCCTGATTGACCACGACACGATTGGAGGTCGAGCCCCACAGGAATTCTGGGCCCAGCCTTGTCGGGGTTACAAGGACTCTGCCACACAGGAGAGGGGAAGGGGAGCCCTCGACGTCAGCAGGCCTCTGGGTGAAGGGAGTGGGAGGGAGGACTCAGATCCTTTTGCTAGCCCATTTCACCGGGGTAGTGCAGAAACCAGGAAAGTTCCCCACAATAGCGGGACCATTCCCACGGTTACACTAGGCAGGCTTCACTTCCTCAGGCACCCCTCAGTGGGTAACTGGCTCTCAGCCGGATTCTCCCAAACAACTACTGCTCCACCTCTGGAGAGAAAGTTCCTTTGGTCTTCTGTACTCGTGACCCCTTTCCTTTCATGTTCCCAACCAGTTCTATAGGTTGCCAGGAGGCAGAATCTTCAAAGCTAATAGTTTGGGCATTGATTCTGAAAGCCCTTAATTGTTTGCTGAGGGGTGGCTTATCCTGAGCCATTCTTGCTCTTTCTGCTTGTCTTTTCTAACAGGCCCCTATTAGACTAGCCCACTATTGTCCTACAGTGACCCTCCAAATAACCAGGTCAACCTACAACATTCATAAACTATTGCAGAGCAGTTGCAAACTGTCACTGGATCTTAATGGCCATGTCTCACCCCAATGGTTACTTCATCCCCCGAGATGGTGGCTGGGTCTGAAAGAGCCTGGGAAGGGTTTCCTCCACAAAAGAGCTTCCACCCCTTTGCCTTTCGCACAAGTCCTCAAACATAATTTTAGCAATTGGCCATATGGGGCGAAATTCTGGCCCCATTGAAATCAATGGGACTTTTGCTTTTGACTGCAGTGGGACCAGGATTTCATCCATAAATCTTAGTTTGCTGCTGAGCCCACTTAACGGATTCAAGAAACTGACTTCAGGCAAGCCAGACTTGAACATTTTGGCGAGGGTTTAAAAGACACCAGTGCCTGGTGCTGCTGAAAAGCAGGGATGTTAAGATAACCACAGTTGTTGGTCACAGATGGGCATTGCCCTTAATCCTAAAGACATTCTCCCTGCCAGGGCCGGCCTTAGGGGTGGGCCCCCTGGGCCCACGGCGCCGTGGTCAGGGGGATGCCATGCAGCAGTACAGAGGTACACACTGCTGGCTGGCAGGGGAGCACCACAAACTCGCGAAGGCGACGCATGTGGGGGGTGCCCAGATTTCTCCCTGCTTCCGCCCCGCGGAATGGAGAGGGGGGATGAGTGGTGACACAGATACTGCTCTCCCCACTCCACAGATTGCTCCATGCCCCTCCCTAGGGGTCTGTGAAGAGGGGGAGAGTGAAGAGCAACATCAAGCACTCCATGCATCCAGGTCACTTCCCCACCTGCAATGTGCTGTGAAGCGAGCATCGGGAGCTGCTGCCCTCCCCTTACGCAGCCCCAGTGGGGAAAGTAGCCTGTATTCAGAGAGCCCTGACGCTGCTCCTCGCTCACAGGCCCTTAGGGGGACACAGAGGAGCAGCATTTGAGGGGGGAGCGAGCAGCAATGCCAGCCGCTCTGTGCATCCAGGTCGGTTTCCCCACATGGGCGCAGGGGTTAGGGGCACGGCGGGGGGGGGGCGAAGGGGTTAGGGGTACAGAAGGAACAGTGCAGCACAAAGTTAGGGTGGCAGTACACCATATACCATGCCACCCTTATTTCTCCGCTGCTGCTGACAGTGGCACTGCCTTCAGAGCTAGGCGCCCAGCCAGCAGCCACCACTCTTCAGCCGCCCAGCCAGTTCTTAATTTGTGCAGGGGCTTGCTGGGGCTGAGTCCCGGCACCTCTTTCAATACAAATAAAGCACTGAGGGAGGCAGCGGGGGCTTGAGGGGTGGGGAACCTGTGAGGGTCAGGGGGGTGAGGAGCCCACAGGGGCATGGTGCAATGGGGCGGAGCACCATGCCCATGGGGGCCAGGAACACCAAAATACAAGTTCACCCAGGGTGCCATTTTCCCTAAGGCCGGCCCTACTTTCTGCCCTGAAAAATCCCTGTTATTGCAGCAGCCCAGCAATACAAATTTTAACATACGTATTAACCTTTGTCCTTTACTGGGCTGCAGAAATTCCAACTACTTCATCATTTATTTCCCTGCCATACTCCAGCTTAAGCTCTTACAGTGCGAGGCATTGAAGGAGTTCCAGAGAGCAACTGTGACACCAACTTGACTCTCTCCTGATACAGGAAAGCATGGTCCAGAGGGTGGCAATCATTGGAGCTGGGGCCAGTGGACTGGCCTCCATCAAGTGCTGTCTGGATGAGGGGCTGGAGCCCACCTGCTTTGAGCAAAGTCATGACATCGGGGGCCTCTGGAGGTTCACAGTGAGTGGGATTTCCTTATCCAGTGACTTTTAACAAGGTGTTTATTTTGGACCAGGCTATGTGTTGCTATGAATATTACCATAGTTTACATTCGCAGCCAAGGAAGAGACTGTACCCATGGACCTAGGCACATTTTCAGACTAGACTTGGGCTTTCCTTTCTGACTTCACGGAGAGAAGGAGATGGAACGACATGAGCCATAGTCTCTGGCATACACATATCTACTATTCCCCAGTAAAGTCAGTACTTACATTGAAGCAATGCGCCAGAGTCTGGAAATCAGGTGTATCCAGTCCCTCAATAACACCATTATAGAGACAGGGATATGAGGAGATTGAGGGCTTGTCTACATGGGGAAATTGACCAGAGTAGCTACTGCAGAAAAAATACTGTGACAGACCCAGACCAGTGGGGTACAGGAGTCTGGTAGAGGGCAAATATATTGGTCACTGGATGAGTAGTTTTCTGTTCCCTGAGTGACCAGAGCAGGGGCTGCACTAGAGTAATCAGGAACCTGCTAGAACCAGTTAAGGCAGGCAGGCTAATTAGGACACCTGGAGCCAATTAAGAAGAAGCTGTTAGAATCAATTAAGACAGGCTAATCAGGGCACCTGGGTTTTAAAAGGAGCTCACTTCAGTTTGTGGTGCGAGTGTGAGGAGCTGGGAGCAAGAGGCGCAAGGAGCCGAGAGTGAGAGGATGTGCTGCTGGAGGACTGAGGAGACCAAGCGTTATCAGACACCAGGAGGAAGGTCCTGTGGTGAGAATAAGGAAGGTGTTTGGAGGAGGCCATGGGGAAGTAGCCCAGGGAGTTGTAGCTGTCATGCAGCTGTTACAGGAGGCACTATAGACAGCTGCAGTCCACAGGGCCCTGGGCTGGAACCCGGAGTAGAGGGCGGGCCCGGGTTCCCCCCAAACCTCCCAATTGACCTGGACTGTGGGTTCTTCCAGAGGGGAAGGTCTCTGGGCTGTTCCCCAACCCACATGGTGAATCTCTGAGGCAAGAAAATCCGCCAATAAGCGCAGGACCCACCAAGATAGAGGAGGAACTTTGTCACAATACATTCTGGAATAGCTCCCCATGTGGACACACTTACTCTGGAATAAGCATGTCTGGTTTGTTTTTGTTGTTGGGTTGTTTTTTTTCTGTGTTATCTGAATCCGCTTTGGAAGTGGATTAAGCTAAACCAGGAAAGGCACTCTTCTTCCAAAATAAGAGAATAGCTATAGCCCTTTAAATTTACCTTATTCTGGAATAACTTCCCAGTGTAGACAAGTCCTGAGGTGGTGGCATGGAACCCATGTGTCTGTTCTGTGTACCAGTGGGCTGTTTAACCCTGCTCTGATGAACCAAGTCAAGTAAATCCCTCTCGGTCAGTCATTTTTTGAAAACATGGTTGCATATTTTGCATTTGACACAGGAAGCTGGGAGGATCAGTGTCTACAGATCGGTGATAACCAACACCTCCAAGGAGATGATGTGTTTCAGCGACTTCCCCTTCCCAGAGGATTTCCCCAACTACATGAACCACTCCAGACTCCTGGAGTATTTCAGAATGTACGCCGAGCGCTTCAGCCTTCTCAGATACATACGCTTCGAGGTAAGAAGGGAGTCAAAGGCCTGGTCTACACTAACCCCCCCACTTCGGACTAATGTACGCAAATTCAGCTACGTTAATAACGTAGCTGAATTCGAAGTACCTTAGTCCGAACTTACCGCGGTCCAGACGTGGCAGGAAGGCTCCCCCGTCGATGCTGCGTACTCCGCTCGCCAAGCTGGAGTACCAGCGTCGACGGCGAGCACTTCCGGGATCGATCCGAGGCACTTCCGGGATCGATCCGGGATCGATTTATCGCGTCTTAACCAGACGCGATAAATCGAACTCAGAAAACCGATTGCTTACATCCGGACCCGGATGTAAGTGAAGACGTACCCAAAGGTTTGTGTGTGTGCGGCGCTGCAGTTGACACGTCAGGCCTTCAGGTCTGGCCAACCTACGTTTGGTACAGGACCCAAAGAGGTGTGGGGACAAAGATGGCTTAACATTTAATGTCACCTTCGTGCTCTCCCAATCCTGGAGTTAGCCAGGCTGGCAGTCTGACCCCCACTGCTAGTGAAAGGAGACTCAAGGCTGCCCTAATATATGGTGGCTGGTGACAGGTCATACCCCTCAGCTACCCTTTTCAGCTATTTAGCATTACTGTCTTGGTGCAAAGGGGTTGGAGCAGGGGTCTTGCATACTTACAGAAGAAAGAAATGTCGGTATCTCCAGGCTTACCCAAGCACTGAGGCCCAGATCCTCAAAGGTCTGTAGATGCCTAACTCCCAGTGGAGTTCATAACTCCCAGTGGGATTTAGGAACCGAAGTATCTTCGGGGATCTGGGTCTAACCGTTCACACACGGAACCGATTTACCGAAAAGAACAATCCATAATGATGTTTTGATTTTCATGTGGTTTCCTGTAAGACCACAGTTCACAGTGTAAGGAAATGCCCAGATTTCTCCACCACTGGCCAGTGGGATGTTTTCACTGAGACTGATGGGACGGTTGAGTCGGCCGTTTTTGACGCTGTTATGGTTTGCAGTGGCCATTATGCAGAGCCCCATTTACCACTGGATTCTTTCCCTGGTAAGTCCTGCATTTACGGCTGAACGTATTAAAGAAAGCCGCACGGCGTGTGGGGTGAAATTCAGCCCTGGCAAAGCCGTCTGTGGCGGGATGAATTCCAGCATTAGTGAATAAGGTGAATTCACATATGGACTGGAATACGGCTCCCTGTTTGCTTCCCTACAGTGCCCTGCCTGTGTCCTTCTGATCTGCCTAGAAGAGATGGTCTCTGTAGTAAGAGGGTATTTTATTCCTAATGTCCTTTCAGCCCTTGCCTCGCTAATGAGGCTGCCAATGAGGTTATTAATTAGCCCCAGCTGTGAGGGTGGTTTAATGTGATGCAGGTAAAGCACAAACTGAAACTGACTGCCTGAGGGGTCACTGGTATGACATAGCAGAGTAGAGCTAATACACAACTTCCCAGATCTACAGGGAGAAAGCGTATAGCTTTGCAACTAAGGAGAAAATCAGTCTGACCCATTTTCCGTGAGTTTTCTGCCATGCCTCACTTTGGGAAGCCCCACCCTTAGAATCCATGGGGGGGAAGATTTCATAGCCCCCTAAAAGAAAAGGCAATTGGCCGCACCTTCTCTCATGACAAGATGAAAATCTAGAGGGCCAAATCCTCAGCTGGTGTAAATTGGTGTAGCTATTGAAGTCAATGGAGCTATGATGATTTATATCAGCTGAGGACCTAGCACAGAATTTGCAAAATATTCTGAAGGATGATGATGGAAAGCACTAATATATAAGAAAAACAATGAGGAGTCCGGTGGCACCTTAAAGACTAACAAATTTATTTGGGCATAGGCTTTCGTGGGTAAAAAAACCCACTTCCATCTGAAGAAGTGGGGTTTTTTACCCACGAAAGCCTATGCCCAAATAAATCTGTTAGTCTTTAAGGTTCCACCGGACTCCTTGTTGTTTTTGTGGATACAGATTAACACGGCTACCCCCTGATACTAATATGTAAGCTAAGACAATTCATTGTTGTTATTTGTATATATTCCATGATCTCTGCAAACCCCCAGGCCTGAGTTGAACCTACTCCACACTAGAGGAGCATGAGGAAAATGAAACATTGATGTCAACATATTAGCAACTCCAGATTTAAAAAGGTGGCATTGTCTTGGCATAGGAATAAAAACCAATGGGCCCAGAGGATAGGATATTGGATCCTCTCAGGGTACTCAGGGCTCCACACATCACCCAGTGAAGTCAAGACTCCTATTGATCTGAAGTGCACTTGAAGTGGGAAGACTAAAGTAATTCAACAGGGATTAAGGGTCAAAAACAATGCTGTCCAGACAGAACTGTCTCAATGGAACAAGCACATTTATCTAATGGCAGGAGATGCTCCCTGCTTTTTTCACAGGTATAGAAAATTGCTTTAGAGGCCAGTACCTCCACAGCTGGGAATACAAAGACTCTGCCAGTTTCCAAGGGAAGAGAGTCCTTGTGCTCGGTGTTGGGAATTCTGGAGGAGATATCGCTGTGGAGATCAGTCGGGTGGCTGCTCAGGTACAGCTCTGGGATGGTGTAGAGATTTGGAGTCTGAGTTTCTCATGCACACACAGCGTCACTTTGGGGTGGCTATAATAATAGTCCAACGGACCACAAGCAAAGGCAGATCAAATCCTGGGGAGCACCAGCCATGCTGATCGTGGTTTCTCTCTCAACACTATAACTACAATATCTACTGTTACTACTTGTATAGTGAATTGCCCCAAGTACACATGCCACCCTTTTGAAAGCGGAACGTATGCAATTGGCAAAGAATTCTAAGTAGATCAGAGGTTCCTGGACAGAAAGCACCTGTTCCTGTGACCACCAACCATCCCCTCCCTGCCAGTTTTCTTCCTTTAATTCCATCATCCGTTTTTGTCCTATCTCACACTGGTCTCCACCTACCAAGTTCCATCTCCAAAGTAGCTTTGCTGTTTCCAGATCAGCCACATGCAACCTGGCACCTTCAGGTCCTAGATGTGCCCCAGAATCCTTTGCGTAGGCTGCCAAGGAGTCTTCTTTGAAAGAAATGGAAAGCGGGATGTTGAAAAGGTTTCACTGATAGTCCTGCACTCATGAGCAGGACCTGGGACTATTCTCCCACCTATCCCCCAAGTCAGGAAACATAGCTAGTATCCTGAGGTCTTCAAAAATCCTAATTACTGCCCATGGAAAGTGCCTCAGGAAGGATGCCAGACGATATTAGAATGGCATGAACAAACTAGTAGCCGAGGACATACCGAGATTAGGTATTGCCAAGTGCACAGAGGTTCAGATCAAGAGCTATAAAAAGATACATTTCAATTTCCTGGACTGTTTTGCAAGTCAGTTCAGCAGATAAATTGGTGGTTTTGCAGCCACTAGGAGTCAGAGAGAGACACTGTGAACTGACTTGTTCATCTGGATCCTGGTTCCTTGCCCCAACCTCCTTATCTTGGGATATTCTGGTTAGCTCTCTACCCTTCCACGCTGAAGGCCTCCTAGCAAACATGCAAGATATGATTTGACAGTGAACAAAAAAAGGAACCCAGATTCCCAGGCAATAAATTTCTCAGGCCTCAATTATTTTCCAGGTGTTTCTCAGCACCAGAAGTGGCACGTGGGTGATTAGTCGTATTTCAGACCATGGCTTCCCTCTTGACATGATGCTCACCACTCGCTTTCACAACTGTCTCGAAAACTTCCTCCCATCAGCCCTCATGAGACGGCTAAGACTGAAGAAGTTCAATACATGGTTTGACCATGCAAATTATGGCTTGATTCCTCAGAAAAGGTGCTTTCTTTGTTTTCTGTGTAAATCTCCCGTTTAATTTGGGGAATAGTTACAGATTAGCAAAGCCCTACGTTGCCTTGCTCATAGGCAGTTCTAGTTTAGGGATTAACATCTATCTGCCAATGGTGGCAATTTTTCACGTTTGTTTCCATGTCATACTTTTGTGTGAATCGATCCTTACTGGTAAGATTGACAGCTGCCCCTTTTGGAGAACAGTGTAACAGACTGGATCTATAATTTAAGGACCTAGAATATTACCCTACAGAAGGCAGGAGACTGGATAGCTCAGGAGTATAGCTAGGTGAATTTTTTTATGCAAACAGTTTTTTCCACTGCAAAAATGCAGATTTGGGTCAACTGAAACTATTCATTAATTTGGGTCAAATTTGACAAAAGTTTAGGACAAAAAATGAAAAAAAATATTTTTTTGGAAAAATTAAAATGTTTTTGTTTTGGTAATTTCAAATTGAAATTTTTCCACTTTTTGGAAAGTGGTTTTCTTTTGGAATTTATGTAGATTTAATTTTAAAAGAACATTAAAAAACATTTAAACCCTCCCAAACTAAAAACAAAATGAAAACAATTGTTTCAGGTTGAACAAAACATTTTGTTCAATCCAAAACTATGTTTCAGGGCTGTTTTGGGATGAGGTTTGTTTTGTTGAGGGGGAAAAAAATTTGTTTCAGCTCAACCTGAAACAATTTTTTTCCCCAATTTTTCTGTTCAACCTCCAAACTGAAAAATGAGTGATTTGCTCAGCCCTACTCAGGAGGCTGACAAAGACCCTTTAGCATCTAGGTGACTGGTTCAAATTCAGCCTAGGTCAGTGACAGGAACTTAGGATCACTACGTTCTGATCGCTGTTTGGTTGACTACATGACATGAGTTCCTACATGACATGAGCTCAGCTTTCCACTCAAAGAAACATTACTATTGACAAGAAAAACACCATTGTAAGGCTAGATTCTCCTTTGCACAGCCTGAGCAGCATGAAGAAGTTGGAACCTGACTACACCTGGCCAGCTGACTCTCAGTGGGTATGAAGCCAGCACAGCCAGCTTCTCCACTGACCATCCTACCCACAACTCAGGGTGGGCTGGGGGTTGGGCATAGGTGAAAGTAAGCCAGTACGCCCCAGTGCGGTGTACCGGCAAGAGCCGGTGCGCTGTACTGGAGCGGATCGGCTTCCCCTGGTGGCAATTTAAAGGGCCTGGGGCTCCCAGCAGTGGCTGGAGCCCCAGGCCCTTTAAATTGCCGCCAGAGCCCTGCTGCTGGAGCCCTGGGGAAGCAGCGGCGGGGCTCGGGTGGCAATTTAAAGGGCCCAGGGCGCCTGCCGCAGCTACCGCCCCGGGCCTTTTAAATCGTCCCCAGAGCCCTGGGGTAGCAGCGGTGGAGCTCTGGCAGCTATTTAAAGGATCTGGGGCTGCGGCAGCCACTACTGCCCCAGCCCTTAAAATAGCCGCCGGACACCCGCCGCCGCCTCCCCAGGGTTCCGGCAGCAGGGCTCCAGGGACAATTTAAAGGGTCCGGGGCTCGGTAGCCTCTACCGCCCCAGGCCCTTTAAATCGTCCCCGGAGCCTGCTGGAGCCATGGGGTAGCAGCGGCGGCGGGGCTCAGGCGGCGATTTAAAGAGCCAGGGGCTCAGCCACCGCTACCGCCCCAGGCCCTTTAACTTGACGCCGGAGCACCGCCGCCACTATCCCAGGGCTCCGGCAGCAGGGCTCTGGGGATGATTTAAAGGGCCCAGGGTGGTAGCGGCAGCTGGAGCCCAGGGCCCTTTAAATCATCGCCCAAGCCACCGGCTGCCGCTGCTACCGTGGGGCTCCGGCAGCGTGGCTTGGGTGGCGATTTAAAGGGCTCGGGGCTCCGGCTGCCGCTACTGCAGCGGAGCCCTGGGCCCTTTAAAGCTCTGCCAGAAGCCAGGGCCCCTCCGATGGTTATTTAAAGTGCCCAGGGCTCCGCTGTGGTAGCAGCAGCTGGAGCCCTGGGCCCTTTAAATCACCCCTGGGGCTCCCAGCCGCCTCTGCAGTTGGTAGCTCCGGGGGTGATTTAAAGGGCCCGGGGCTCCCAGCTGCTGCTACCACAGCCCCAGCCCCGGGCCCTTTAAATCCTGATTTAAAGTGCCCGGGGATTTAAAGGCCCCACCTCTTCTGGTAGAGGCCACGCCCCCTCCTAAGGACTCTGGAGTACCGGTAAATCCTTTAAGTTACTTTCACCCCTGGGGTTGGGTGGAGTACAGCTCTGTTCCTCCTGGCCCAGTTGCAGTGTGGTGCCTAGGGATCAGACCCAGCTGTCATAAATTAGGCTGCTCTAACTTATGCCACAGCGCCTTGAGGATCTCAGGAAGCTATACCAGCCCCAACCGTTCTCCGTCTTCTTCTACATGAAGTACACCTTGGGGCAAGAGAGAATCTAGCCGACAAATGGTAGTCCCAGCTGGTATTGGACAGACAGCTCTGGATTCTGACTGCTTCTGCTTATCCACAGAACAGGGCAAGCTCCCTCCACATTTCCCCATCTACACACCTCACCCCTGAGCACCTACGTGCTCCATGTCTGGTCTTCCCCCATTAGCTCTTCCACACCTCACAATTCATTGTAGTATAGCCAGAATTCCAGCTCTGCTTTGGTTCTTTATCACACCCTGTCAGAGCAAATACTGCACTCAATCTCTCGCTCTCCCTTCCTTCTATGTGCCAGTCCAAACCTAAGCTTAATTGTGAATGATGAGCTGCCAAGCTGCATCCTCTGCGGTGCTGTTGTGGTAAAACCAAATGTGGAGGAGTTTATGGAAAGCTCAGCTGTCTTTGAAGATGGGACCGTAGAGGAGAACATCGACATGGTGGTCTTTGCTACCGGATACACTTTCTCTTTTCCCTTCCTTGAAGAGTCTGTTCGCAACATCTACAGAAGCAAGTACGCCCTTTACAAATACATCTTCCCACCCCCTCTGGAGAAGCCGACGCTGGCTGTCCTAGGCCTTATAGAGCTAACAGGCTCCATCATGGCAGGAACAGAACTCCAGGCTCGTTGGGCCACAAGGGTCTTTAAAGGTAGGCAGACATACACACGCTAGCTTTGATCTAGCTGGTGTGCTAAAAATAGCAGTGTAACCACGGTCGCGTGATCTGGCCACCTGTGTACAGTCTCAGCTAGCCCCTCCCACCACCCGTGTTGCCATTAGTAGAATGTGAGTCACACAGCCAACATGACCCTAGACAGAGCGTAATTCCCCAAAGAATTAACACACTAGCTTCTCTGCGACATATGACTTGGAGCCTCAGCTGTGTAAACTCACCTAGCTCTGCTTGTTTCAGGGGAGTGGTGTTGATTTGCACCAGCTGAGGATTTGGCCTTTAATACTTAGATCAGCTCTTGCTAAATATGTCCAGCCTCTGATGTAATCAGTGAAGGAGCTCATAGTGGACTGACTGGTTTGAGGACTTCGGGATCATCTGTGCAAAGAACTAGTATGTTCTCTCGTTTCTCTTATGTTCCCAGGGTTGAATCAGCTCCCTCCTGCCAGCAGGCTGATGGCTGAAGTTGCTAAGAAGCAGCAGCATCTAATTAAACAGTACGAAATGCTACTTATTCTATTCCATATTCAGGGCATGGTGCTCCAGTCAGTAATATCGCTGCTGAACAGGGGAAGGTAGCCCCTCTATCTATCCGTGTCACCAGAGACTCTGAGTGCCTCACAGTATGTTGCTGTATTTATCCTCACCACAATGCTGTGGGGCAAGGCAATGCTGTTATCCCCATTTTACTGATGGGGAAACTGAGGCACCTCAGCTAGACCTTTCAGGAAGTGAAGAGCCTAAATACCTTTGAGGATCTGGGCCCTAGAAACCAAGTGACTTGCCCAAAGTCACATGGAAAGTCTGTAGAGGACAGGGACTCAGGTCTCTCAAGTTCTAGACTAACACTCTAACCACTGTACCATCCTTCCACTGACTCACTAGCTAGATTAATAGACTTTTTTACTGCAATTTTTTCCCTATCTGTTTGGGTTTTGGCTTTTAATTCTCCTTCTGTGGAACCAAACAGGTGACGAAGAGAGTCAGGGGAAACTCTTCTAACAGAGGCTATGTCTCCACTACAGTCCAAGGTGTGATTACAGGACATGTAGACATACCGTGTCAGCTGTAATCTGCTGCAGCAGCACAGGTTAGCCTCCCAAGTAGGTATCCAGGGTGCCAGGTTGGCTTGTACAGACTGCACTGAAGCCCATGCTGCCGCAGTTTGACTGCTACTGGTACCAGCTCCACACATCCTGCACTGACGCCTCCGATTGCAAGGAGACATATGCATTTCTATGGCTAACAAGACCCTAGAATGCCATTAACCAACGCTCCTGAATAGAGGGGGGTTGGACTCGCAAGAGTTCATTTGAAACATTTATTTTGTTTCATTCATGCCCTCTTCCAAGTTTTTGAAACTGAATGAAACTGAGTTTCACACAGATTCAAAACCACCCAGAAATGGCACCAGTTTGACACAACAGCACTCAAAATAGATCCATTTCTACTGGGAACCAGATCCGAGTGAGCTCAAAGGGATCACAAACTTTTTGACAAACTTGGACCAAGTCTCGAGTTGCAACAGAACAAAACCAGGTGAGCTTTGCACATTTTGGGATTTATTTGATCCAGCTCTAACCCTGAAGTTAATGTTTTCCTCTAGAGCAGTGGCACCATCTTGTGGCTAAAAAGAAATGGCAGCTGTTTCCTGTGCCTGGATTCCCCTTCTTCCTAGTTCAGGAGAAACAGGAGTGAGAGTCAACCACTGATTATAAAACTGAAAGAGTTCTGATTGCAGGCCTGTCTGATGAGGCTGCTGGTAGAACAGTGTGTGCAGCATTCTACACTAGTGCCTGTTAAAACGATGCCTGCCAGGATTGCAGGGGGATCCTCTGGCAATTATAACACTGCATACAAAGTGTCCCTCTAGTAACCACACCTTAGTTCTGGGGGGGATCCCATCAGCTGACCCCATTTAAGTTCCAAGGGAATTTCCTTTCATGACCATGCTGGTCCTCGTGCTTTTCTGGCTATGTTGCAATTCTCACTGCTTCCCTCTCCCCCTAAATCCAGCTCAGGGAGAACGTGGCAGGGAAGACATGACAACAAAAATCTTCTCATGGGCTTAAAGCATGGGCAGCAGGTATAATAGGCCAGGGGAAGCTAAGCCTCCCCAAACAGGATGTGGTGCGCCTCCCTCTGGAGGCATGCCGCTAGCCTGCTGCCTTTGGAGCGCTGTGACCGAAAGGGCGCCCGGGCCACGGCCCCACCCACGCTCCACCTGAGGTCCTACTCCCATATCCCACTCTTACCCCATTGCCCTGTCCACATTGCTCCTCTTCCCATCCCTCCCGCCTGCCTTTTGTGCCTCTTCTCCCCTACCCCCATGGCCCCTCCACCCACCGTTCATGCTTCTTTGCCCCTGAGAGGCAGAGAGGCATGGGGAAAGGAGACTCTCAGGGGAGTGGGAGGATAGAGGCACAAGCAGTGAGGGAAGGGGGGGCTTGAAGGAGGGGGTAGAAAGACACGAGTGGCAGGGGGAGGGGCTTGGAGAAGAGGGGCTGAGCAGGAGCGGGGCCTTGGGTGGAGTGTGGGTGGGACCTTGGCAGGAGGATGCTGAGTGGGGCTGAGCCTCAGGGCGGAGCAGGAGGTGGAGCCACGGTCTGGGCACCGGTAGCCCACCCAGTTCTAGGGAGCTTCCGGCACTCAGGCCCAGCCTCCCCAAATCCGGGAGTCATGCGCCACCCATGGCTTAGAGAGAACCATAAAATATGGAACTAGCCAGGACCCTGAGAATGATCTTTAAAGGTCCATTTGCTTGGGCATTGTAGACTTTTATCTATGACCTTCAAAACCCATCATCTCAACAATTGTCTCCCCTTCACAAGGACTGAGGCTTTGTCTTCACTACAAAAAAAAAGGTGTGTTCTTAACTCAAGCAAGAGCTAACTCAAGGCAAAACCCTAGTGAAGATAAAAACAATATTAGAAATGGAAAAGGTACAGAGAAGGGCAACAAAAATGATCAGTTTCCATCTGAGGAGAGATTAATAAGACTGGGACTTTTCAACTTGGAAAAGAGATGACTAAGGGGGAATATGATAGAGGTCTATAAAATCATGACTGATGTGGAGAAAGTGATAAGGAAGTGTTATTATTCCTTCTCATAACACAAGAACCATGGTCATCCAATGAAATTAATAGGTTTAAAACAAACAAAAGGAAGTATTTCTTCACACAATGCACAGTCAACCTGTGGAACTTGTTGCCAGGGGATGTTGTGAAGGCCAAAACTATAACAGGATTCAAAAAATAATTAGATAAGTTCCTGAATGGTAGGTCCATCGGTGGCTATTAGACATGCTGTGGGTGTCTTAACCTCTGACTGCCAGAAGCTGAGAGTGGACGACAGGGGATGGATCATTTGATGATTGCCTGTTCTGTTCATTCCCTCTGAAGCACCTGGCAATGGCCATTGTCAGAAGGCAGGATACTGTGCTAGATGGACCATTGGTCTGACCCAGTAAAGCCTTTATGTTCTTATAAGGAAGTTTGTAGTTTTCACATGAGTTAGCAGGTCGAGCTATACTTAAAACCTAGACTTTAATTCGACCTGCTGCCACAGGTGAAAACTAAAACCTGCCTTGTCCTCACTAGCATTTCCCCTCAAGTTAGAGTGTGACTTCACGGCAGAGTTAGTTGCATTGGAGTTACTCTTTTCAAGTTAGCCTGGCTTGAGTGAGAGCAGCCACACTGACATAACCCACCAGCTGCTTTTCCACATTGGCTCTGTGCTCAGGCATTGTAACCCCCCTTCTGGGGCACCCCTGATCTCCAAAGGCAGTGGAGGGCTCGGTTCCTCCCTCCTTGGGAATTCTTTGACACACACCGCTTTGGGACCAATGGGATCTGGTTCCTGATGAATGGTGTCTCCACCTATTGGCTGAGGGTTCAGGTGGCCACACTGCTAGGACCTCTAGGAATAAGCTAACTAGTGTAGTAACTATGCCCAGATAAGAATGACAACTATTCATTTCCTGGAACAGGAAAAAGGGGAATTAAGGAAGGAGAGGAGAACAGGAGAGACACTTCGGAATGGCCCTAAAATGGATCCCTGACCTGTGTTACAACAATGGCCATTCCCAAAGTCTCTGTGGTTCGCACAGCGTGGTTGGAGATCAAGGGGCAGGCTGGCATCGCTGTGGGCAATTTCACAGTTGGCTGGTTGGTGTCCCAAGCGAATCAAGCCACGGCTGATTTCCGGCCTCCAGTGCAGGATGGGCCTGTGGGCGATGTGGTCTTCCAGCTCTTAGAGTTGCCACAGCTTCTGGGTGTTCAGGCTTCCTGGAACAGTGCAGGGCCTCTGAGTCAGCTTCAGGCTTCTGACCAGGAGAGTCAGAAAATGGCTTCTCCTGCATGCAGCCAAAGAGAATACATCCCTTCCCCCCTCCCCCACCTCTCCTCCCCCGCACAGGTGCTCCATTTCCGAAGTCACACAGGGGCCAGTCCGGCATGTCCATGACTGGTCCCTCCAACACAAGCCAGTAGGAAGGCAGCCTCAGTCTCCACACTGTGCTGCTCCCTGTGCTGCTGCAGCCCTAGACTGGCAGAAGCTACACCCATACATGGCACAGTGAGTTCTGGGAACATATGCCATGATTCTTTGTGCTGCAGTAAGCTGAGCTGCTCTGTGAATTGTGGGAAGGCACTGGACTATCGGCATTCGAGGGAAGCTAGCCTGCATCCACACCACAGAGTAGTTGTGTTAGCAGATGGCAAGTTGTACCAAGGTGAGTTTGTCTATAGGGACTAACCAACTCAAGTTAAAAGCATCATCGCACTTTCTGCACGAGTGGGACTCAAGTGAGGAGCAACACTCGAGTAATAACTCAAGTGAACTTTGCAATGAAGACAAGCACTTCACTAACTCCAATGAGCTAACACACCTCTTTTTTTTTATATCATGACAACAAGGCCTAATGCAGAAAGAGTGAGGATGTGTTCCAAATCCCAGTGACTGTCACACCTACTCATGATCTCATTACATGGGCGCTGGTTCAAATTAAGATCAAGTTAGTGATCGAGACAAAAAAATCACCTAACTAATGGCTGATGGTGAACTCTTGTGAGATGAGTAGATGATCTCAGCCTAGCTCTTAATGAACTGGTGACAAATGACCTGAGCAGATCAAAGCAGGCAGACGGAGGTGGGAGGATATGGTCCCTTATCTTTTTAACTCTCCTCAGAGGGGAACCCTCTTAACTTTCATAGCCCTTCTCTGGATCTTTTTTATTTCTGCTGCTCCCTTTTTCAGACAGGGTGGCCAAAACTGAACCAAGATTGTTAGGGTTCCCTCCCACTCTGAACTCTGGGGTACAGATGTGGGGACCCACATGAAAGACCTCCTAAGCTTATTTCTACCAGCTTAGGTTAAAAACTTTCCAAAGGCACAAATTCTTCCTTGTCCTTGAATGGTATTGCTGCCACCACCAAGTGAGTTAGACAAAGATTCAGGAAAAGGACCACTTGGAGTTCCTGTTTCCCCAAAATATCTCCCCAAACCCCTTTACTCCCTTTCCTGGGGAGGCTTGAGAATAATATACCAACCAAATAGGTAAACAAGGTGAGCACAGACCAGACCCTTGGGTTTTTAGGACACTAAAAACCAATCGGGTTCTTAAAAGCAGAACTTTATTATAAAGAAAAAAGTAAAAGAAGCACCTCTGTAAAATCAGGATGGAAGGTAATTTTACAGGGTAATAAGATTTAAAACACAGAGGATTCCCCTCTAGGCAAAACTTTAAAGTTACAAAAAACAGGAATAAACCTCCCTCTTAGCATAGGGAAAATTCACAAGCTAAAACAAAAGAGACTCTAACGCCATTCCTTGCTTACTTACAATTTTTGTAATCTTAGATGCTCATTTCAGGTAGGGGTTTAGGAGAGGTTTTTTTCCTGCCCTGGTCCCTCTCTGGCCAGGAGAGAACAACCAAAAACCTCCCCCCACAGATTTGAAAGGATCTTCTTCCCTTATTGGTCCTTTTGGTCAGATGCCAACCAGGTTATTTGAGCTTCTTAACCCCTTACAGGTAAAGGAGGGATTTTATGCTACCCTTAGCTGTATGTTTATGACAAAGATGAAGGGCATAACATTGATGTATATGATGGCATTATGTTTTCAGTGTTATTTATAGCCATGTCTTCAATGGTTTGTATATCTGACCATTTGCTCTGCACAGAGCTTAGTATGAATCAGGGAAATGGGAAGGAGTTTCAGTCATGCATTTTGGGTTTACACAGAAATACAATAACCTCTTTGTTTTATTTCCTAATGAAGGGGTCTTTCCAACAAGGAGAGCAAAATCAAGATGAGTTACATTGGCTACATGGATGAAATTGCATCATGTGTTGGTGTAAAACCCAACGTGCTGCTGCTGTTCCTGAAGGATCCCAAGCTGGCCCTGGAAGTTTTCTTTGGCCCATGCACCCCTTGCCAGTATCGCCTGGCTGGACCAGGAAAATGGGTAGGAGCCAGAAACACCATCCTGACCCAGTGGCACCGGGCTCTGAAGCCCCTGAGAACTCGAGTCATCAATGATTCTTCCAATCACTCTTTGGTTTTCCACTGGCTTACAATTCTTGGCCTTCCTGCACTCCTTTGTGCTGGTTTACTTATTTGTAAATATTCCCCTCAGCTGTGGTTCCCCAGGGTAAGATTAGGTGCTATTCCCATACGTAAAATGGGCTTCATGAAAGGAGGGCTCTGAGTAGCTGGTGAAGGTTCTAAGCTGTGCTGCTAGAAGACAATAACTTCAATGTCTGGAACCATTCATAATTCCAAAAAAATTCAGACTCTTCCAGCCCAGCTCATCCCAATCAGATTGACACCGGAAACCACCCCTGGCCTTGGCACTTTGAGAATACACACACTCACTCTCCAGCTAATATGAAGTTGGTCCTGAGGTCAACTGTTGGCTGAGGAAGCCCTGACAATGCAGAGCCAGAGAGAGCAACAGAGACTATAGGGATTACCAACTCAATCAATGCCTCAGATTATTACAATTGAGATGTCAGATGTTTCATTTGTCTTTCACCATTGACCCTGCTTGTTTACTGATTACATATTGTTTGTCTTGGATTATGAAAATAGACTAGTCAGCTTCTCTTTTATACAGAGAGAAGTTGTATAGATAAGTTTCTAATCACTTTCATTTTCTGATTCTTTCCCATTGTGTGTTTGCTACCAGGTGTAGTGCTTACCTTAGCCAATGAGCCACACTCCCTGGTGCCCTGCACCTTATGTAGTTATTTCCAACAAATAATTATCTTGTCTCATACCCCACTCAATGTCAACCTGGGTTTGATTTACCGCAAAGGCAATGGAACCTTCTGAATTGGTTTTGTACTGGACATGGAATTTGTGCTGCAGCAGAATTTTGGTGGCATTTATAGACAGTCCATTATGTCAATATGGGCAGCCACAAACCATGATACATATTGTTGAGGACTGCCAAATGACTCAACTTCCTGGAGGTCTTTGTGCCTTGAACATCGTCAATAAGAACACTGTGGCTTGGTTTGATCAGATTCCATACGCAAAAATAAATAAATAAAATAAATTTCCAACAATACAAACAGGATGCAACTCTTTAGCATTCTGATGTTAGTAGCATTTTACACTCATTTGGACAGAGGCAGGACTAAGAATTATCTAGACCATCCCTGACAGGTGTTTGTCTAATCTGTTCTTAAAAACCTCCAGTGGTGGAAATTCCATTACCTCCTTAGGTAATTTATTTCAGTGCTTAATCACCCTGACAGTTAAGAAGTTTTTCCTAATGTCCAACCTAAACCTTCCTTGCTGCATTTTAAGCCCATTACTTCTTGTCCTGACTTCAGTGGTTAAGGAAAACAATTTATCAACCTCCTCTTTATGACAACCTTTTACATACTTGAAGACTAATATGTCCCTCCTCCGTCTTCTCTTCTCCAGACTAAACAAGCTTATTTATTTCAATCTTTCCTCATAGGTCATGTTTCCTAGACCTTTAATCATTTTTGTTCCTCTCCTCTGGACTTTCTCCAGTTTGTCCATGTAGTGATTCTATGGCTGTCCCTCCCCATCAGGCTCCGAGGGAGGCTACTCTGTCTCACTATGTCAGTAAGGGTGTCAATTAGCAGGCTAGGGCTCTGAACCTCTGGGCGGGCAAAGCAACAAGCAGTCTTTAGCCCAAGGCCTCCTGGCTTGGGCAGACAGCAATTGACAGTCTAAGAACTCTGATCCTTTAGCTACAATCTTCATGCTGGAGCAGGCAGCAAACACCTTCTGGGGCTCTGGGTGGGCAGAGCAATAGGCAGGCTTTAGCCTATGTGAGTAGGCCTGCTGACCTCAGGTGACTAAGCCACCATCCCCCTTAGGGGACCTGGGCCCACCCTACTCCACTAGGTCCCAGCCCAAGCCTCTAACAGTGGCGGGTGGTCCCACCACTATGTCAGCAGGGCAGTTACTGAAAAACACTGACTCATTTTCTGGCCACACAACCAGACTAATATCTGGCTTCCCTGGGCTACTTCCTACCCCTGGCTGTAGGGCTTCGTTGCTCATGGATCCCCAATTTCCATGGGGTAATCATCTGGCAGAAGTCCTGGCAGCTCCTCAGGGTACTCACCTGGTGGCAGTCTCGGCAGCTCCCTTCCTTCGGGGTTCTCCTCTGGGTCAGAGACTGGCATAGCTCAGTCCTTGGTCCAGGGGCTGGCCACAAGGCAGAGGCACCTGACTCCTTCCCTGGCTCTGGCCCACCTGAGCTAGAGACCTCACCTCTTATACTTCCTGTTCCTCCCCTCTGCTTCTGGCACAGAGGCGGGACTTGCCTAGCTCTGCTCAACAGGGGGTGGAGAGTGGTTCCTCTCCGTCAGGCTCAGAAGGAGGCCACTCTGCTTCACTACAATCCACGTTTCCTGAAGTGTGGTGCCCAGAACAGGACACAATACTATAGTTGAGGCCTTATCTGTGCTGAGTAGAGTGGAAGAATTTCTTCTCACGTCTTGCTTATAACACTCCTGCTAATAAAGCCCAGAATTATGTTTGCTTTTTTTGCAACAGTATTACATTGTTGACTCATGTTTAGTTTGTGATCCACTATAACTGCCAGATCCTTTTCTGCAGTACTCCTTTCTAGGCAGACATTTCCTATTGTGTATTTGTGCAAATGATTATTCCTTTCAAGTGGAGTACTTTGCATTTGTCCTTACTGCATTTCATCCTATTTAATTCAGACCATTTCATCAGAATCATTTTGAATTCTAATTCTATCCTCCAAAGCACTTGCAACCCGTCCCAGTTTGGCATTGTCCACAAACTTAATCAGTGTACTCTCTGTGCCATTATCTAAATCATTTATAAAGATATTGACTAGAACCAGACCCAGGACAGAAATCAGCGGGACCCAACACAATATGCCCTTCCAGCTTGATTGTGAATCCTTGATAACTACTCTCTGAGTACGGTTTTCCGGCCAGTTCTGTACCAACCTTATAGTAGGTTTGTCTAGGCTATATTTCTCTAGTTTGCTTATGAGAAGGTCATGGGAGACAGTATCAAAAGCTTTCTAGAAGTCAAGATATGACATCTACTGCTTCCCTCCATCCACAAGGCTTGTTACCTTGTCAAAGAAGGATATTAGGTCAGTTTGACATGATCTGTTCTTAACAAATCCATGTTGACTGTTATTTATTATCTTATTTTCTTCTAGGTACTTTCAAATTGATTGTTTATTTGCTTCATTATTTCTGTGGGTAAGAAGTTAAGATGACTGATCTATAATTCCCTGGGTTGTCCTTATTCCCCATTTTATACATTAGGAGATGAGATTGGTTCCCAGGGGCTTTTGGGAAGGGATTGGTGGACCATTAACCAATGACTGCTGTTATTGGGCGTGGCTGTGCATCTTCATTGCAGTCACCTGGTGTTAGCAAAAGATAACATAAGCTAACTCCAGGCCTGCCCTCTCCCTCAGGTTTGGTGACTGCTTTGTGGTGTGGCAGGTCTGAAGGGTGTGAATGTGAAGCATGTTAAGGAGGAAACTTGCAGTTCATACCCTGTTAAATCTCCACTGAAGACAATGTCTGTGAGAAGTAGTAAACATCGTTCCTGGCAGTAAATATCTGTGAACCCCCTGGTCAGTGTGTGGAATGGATCCCCATCCACAGAGGCTATATATCTGTTACAGCTCTCAGTTAAAGAACCTGGCTCTTTAGCTCAAGGCCCAAGCTGTAGACACTTATGCTTTCAGCTCTGGAGATCCCTAGTGTCAGTCAAGATGGTGGCCCTCAAATCTGCATGATTGGGCCCTAGCAGAATGGATACAGCTGTTCCAAAACAAACAAACAAACAAGGTAATACTTAAGTCCCTGATCTCTTTAGAGAGACCTGCTTTCCTGTGGCAGTTTCCTTCAACGACATAAAAGAAACAGCAGAGATTCATAGTTTGTAAGGCCAGAAGGGTCTTCTGTGATCATCTAGTTTGACCTCTTGCATAACACTGCCCATAAAACATCACTGGACTAATTCTTGTTTGAACTAGAGCATATCTTCTAAACATCTAATCTTGATTTTAAAATCACCGGTGATGGAGAGAATCCACCTCAGCCCTTGGTAAATTGTTCCAGTGGTTAATCACCCACATTGTTAAAAATGTGTGCCTTATTTCCAATCTGAATTTGTCTAGTTTTAACTTCCAGCCATTAGATCTTGACTTCTGGCCATTGGATCTTGACATCATAATGCCACCTCCAACAAAGCCCTTGAGGAGAGCTAGTTAGGCTCAAGAACAGCTTTCAATGGACACTTAAAAGGTTTTGCCCTCCTCCCTGCCATGCAGACTGACTTTGAATTCTGAAATGGTTTCCTAGAACTGTTGAGTCCATTTCTGGACATGTGGGTATTTATAGTGTGGGTGGAGCCACCATCCTCAGTAGCAGATACAGTATGAGAATTCCAGATCACCCGGCTCCCTCTCCCATCTACGTGAGTAAAAATAAGCAAAACAAATAAAAGCAAGGTATGTGTTTTTTAAAGTGTATTTTTTGTCTGGTGGGAAATACACATGTGAGCATATATGGGACCCCAGGGTTTTTGATGCATTTTTACTGGCAAATTATTTAGAATTCCTCAACATATTATTTTCTTGCTTTTAGATTGTAAATTCTTTGAGCAGGGCCTGTCTCTTCCTCTCTTTAGAAAGGACCTCACACACATTGGTGCTGCCTCAGTCTAAATAATGAAAATATTGCTCTTATTTGTATTCATTATTTTATGGCACCAAAATGTGATTTAGGTGCTTCTCAGAAGACATGGTAAGTCATGGTCCCTGCCCTAAAGAGCTTACAATCAAAGACCCTGATCCTGCAAAGAGAACCATGCAGAGAGACTCCTGCACCCATGTGACCCTAAAAGTTCCCCAATGACAGTTGGCAGACTGTTGTCATGATATTTACCCAAAAGGTGGCATTTAATATATCATTGGAAAACTAACAACTCAGCAATCATTAATATGTTTGCATGATGTATGTATGGTAAACCCCCCAAAGACTTTATAGATATATACTGGAAATATGTGACTAAAATATGTTTAAATCAGGCAGGTCAGGGGAATTGATAAACAGGTTCTCTCCAGACAAAGGAAAGAGGCCAACACCTCAAACCAGGTGTGGCCAAATTCAGTGGGCTATTCATTTGTATTGGAGGTTGTGGGAAGAGATCATTTGCATTGCAAAAATCACCATCGGGGAGAAGAGACAGCATGAAGTCTTCACCAGACAGCATGGCATCCACACCCAGCAGGGAAAGGAACTTTATCTGGAGATATGTTTCAGAAGAATACATTTCCAATGTTTACTGGCCTATGAAAAGAGGGGGAGCAAGCCCCTAAGTTATCCTGAGGAGTCAAAGAAGCCCAGCTCTTT